GTACGTTTCTCAGCTCATCCACGAGTGTGTGTGTGTACGTTTCTTAACTCATCCACGTGTGTGTGTACGTTTCTTAACTCATCCGTGTGTGTGTGTGTGTACGTTTCTAACTCATCCGTGTGTGTGTGTGTGTGTACGTTCTTAACTCATCCGTGTGTGTGTGTGTGTGTACGTTTCTTAACTCATCCGCGTGTGGTGTACGTTTCTTAAACTCATCCGCGTCTTGTGTGTGTGTACGTTTCTTAACTCATCCGCGTGTGTGTGTGTGTACGTTTCTCAGCTCATCCACGAGTGTGTGTGTGTGTACGTTTCTTAACTCATCCACGTGTGTGTGTACATTTCTTAACTCATCCGTGTGTGTGTGTGTGTGTACGTTTCTTAACTCATCCTTGTGTGTGTGTGTGTACGTTTCTTAACTCATCCGTGTGTGTGTGTGTGTGTACGTTTCTTAACTCATCCGCGTGTGTGTGTACGTTTCTCAACTCATCCGTGTGTGTGTGTACGTTTCTCAAGTCATCCGCGTGTGTGTGTACGTTTCTCAACTCATCCACATGCGTGTGTGTGTACGTTTCTCAACTCATCCGCGTGTGTGTGTGTGTACGTTTCTCAACTCATCCACGTGTGTGTGTACGTTTCTTAACACATCCGTGTGTGTGTGTGTGTACGTTTCTCAACTCATCCACGTGTGTGTGTACGTTTCTCAACTCATCCACGCGTGTGTGTGTACGTTTCTCAACTCATCCGCGTGTGTGTGTGTACGTTTCTCAACTCATCCACGTGTGTGTGTGTACGTTTCTTAACTCATCCACGTGTGTGTGTGTGTGTGTACGTTTCTCAACTCATCCGTGTGTGTGTGTGTACGTTTCTTAACTCATCCGTGTGTGTGTGTACGTTTCTCAACTCATCCACGTGTGTGTGTGTACGTTTCTTAACTCATCCAGTGTGTGTGTGTACGTTTCTCAACTCATCCACGTGCGTGTGTGTGTACGTTTCTTAACTCATCCACGTGTGTGTGTGTGTACGTTTCTCAACTCATCCACGTGTGTGTGTACGTTTCTCAACTCATCCACGTGTGTGTGTGTACGTTTCTCAACTCATCCACGTGTGTGTGTACGTTTCTCAAACTCATCCACGTGTGTGTGTGTACGTTTCTCAACTCATCCACGTGTGTGTGTACGTTTCTCAACTCATCCACGTGTGTGTGTGTACGTTTCTCAACTCATCCACGTGTGTGTGTACGTTTCTCAACTCATCCACGTGTGTGTGTGTGTGTACATTTCTCAACTCATCCACGCGCTGTGTGTGTGTGTGTGTTACATTTCTCAACTCATCCACGCGTGTTGTGTGTGTACGTTTCCTTAACTCATCCGCGTGTGTGTGTGTACGTTTCTTAACTCATCCACGTGTGTGTGTGTACGTTTCTCAACTCATCCGCGCGTGTGTGTGTATACGTTTCTCAACTCATCCTGTGTGTGTGTGTACGTTTCTTAACACATCCAGTGTGTGGTGTACGTTTCTCAACTCATCCACGTGTGTGTGTACGTTTCTCAACTCATCCACACGTGTGTGTGTGTACGTTTCTCAACTCATCCACGCGTGTGTGTGTACGTTTCTCAACTCATCCACGCGTGTGTGTGTGTACGTTTCTCAACTCATCCACGTGTGTGTGTGTACGTTTCTCAACTCATCCACGTGTGTGTGTGTGTACGTTTCTCAACTCATCCACGTGTGTGTGTGTGTACGTTTCTCAACTCATCCACGTGTGTGTGTGTACGTTTCTCAACTCATCCACGCTTGTGTGTGTGTGTACGTTTCTCAACTCATCCACGTGTGTGTGTGTGTGTGTACGTTTCTTAACTCATCCACGCGTGTGTGTACGATTCTCAACTCATCCACGTGTGTGTGTGTACGTTTCTCAACTCATCCACGTGTGTGTGTGTACGTTTCTCAACTCATCCACACGCGTGTGTGTGTATACGTTTCTCAACTCATCCGCGTGTGTGTGTGTGTACGTTTCTCAGCTCATCCACGAGTGTGTGTGTGTGTACGTTTCTTAACTCATCCACGTGTGTGTGTGTACGTTTCTTAACTCATCCACGTGTGTGTGTGTACGTTTCTCAACTCATCCGCGTGTGTGTGTGTACGTTTCTCAACTCATCCGCGTGTGTGTGTGTGTACGTTTCTCAGCTCATCCACGAGTGTGTGTGTGTACGTTTCTTAACTCATCCACGTGTGTGTGTACGTTTCTTAACTCATCCGTGTGTGTGTGTGTGTACGTTTCTTAACTCATCCGTGTGTGTGTGTGTGTGTACGTTTCTTAACTCATCCGTGTGTGTGTGTGTGTGTACGTTTCTTAACTCATCCGCGTGTGTGTGTACGTTTCTTAACTCATCCGCGTGTGTGTGTGTACGTTTCTTAACTCATCCGCGTGTGTGTGTGTGTACGTTTCTCAGCTCATCCACGAGTGTGTGTGTGTGTACGTTTCTTAACTCATCCACGTGTGTGTGTACATTTCTTAACTCATCCGTGTGTGTGTGTGTGTGTACGTTTCTTAACTCATCCTTGTGTGTGTGTGTGTACGTTTCTTAACTCATCCGTGTGTGTGTGTGTGTGTACGTTTCTTAACTCATCCGCGTGTGTGTGTACGTTTCTTAACTCATCCGCGTATGTGTGTGTACGTTTCTTAACTCATCCGCGTGTGTGTGTACGTTTCTCAACTCATCCACGTGTGTGTGTGTACGTTTCTCAACTCATCCGCGTGTGTGTGTACGTTTCTCAACTCATCCACGTGTGTGTGTGTACGTTTCTCAACTCATCCACACGCGTGTGTGTGTGTACGTTTCTCAACTCATCCACGTGTGTGTGTGTACGTTTATCAACTCATCCACACGCGTGTGTGTGTATACATTTCTCAACTCATCCGCGTGTGTGTGTGTACGTTTCTCAACTCATCCGCGCGTGTGTGTGTACGTTTCTCAACTCATCCGTGTGTGTGTGTACGTTTCTTAACTCATCCGTGTGTGTGTGTGTGTACGTTTCTTAACTCATCCGTGTGTGTGTGTACGTTTCTCAACTCATCCGTGTGTGTGTGTACGTTTCTCAAGTCATCCGCGTGTGTGTGTACGTTTCTCAACTCATCCACATGCGTGTGTGTGTACGTTTCTCAACTCATCCGCGTGTGTGTGTGTGTACGTTTCTCAACTCATCCACGTGTGTGTGTACGTTTCTTAACACATCCGTGTGTGTGTGTGTGTACGTTTCTCAACTCATCCACGTGTGTGTGTACGTTTCTCAACTCATCCACGCGTGTGTGTGTACGTTTCTCAACTCATCCGCGTGTGTGTGTGTACGTTTCTCAACTCATCCACGTGTGTGTGTGTACGTTTCTTAACTCATCCACGTGTGTGTGTGTGTGTGTACGTTTCTCAACTCATCCGTGTGTGTGTGTGTACGTTTCTTAACTCATCCGTGTGTGTGTGTACGTTTCTCAACTCATCCACGTGTGTGTGTGTACGTTTCTTAACTCATCCACGTGTGTGTGTGTACGTTTCTCAACTCATCCACGTGCGTGTGTGTGTACGTTTCTTAACTCATCCACGTGTGTGTGTGTGTACGTTTCTCAACTCATCCACGTGTGTGTGTACGTTTCTCAACTCATCCACGTGTGTGTGTGTACGTTTCTCAACTCATCCACGTGTGTGTGTACGTTTCTCAACTCATCCACGTGTGTGTGTGTACGTTTCTCAACTCATCCACGTGTGTGTGTACGTTTCTCAACTCATCCACGTGTGTGTGTGTACGTTTCTCAACTCATCCACGTGTGTGTGTACGTTTCTCAACTCATCCACGTGTGTGTGTGTGTGTACATTTCTCAACTCATCCACGCGTGTGTGTGTGTGTGTGTACATTTCTCAACTCATCCACGCGTGTGTGTGTGTGTGTGTACGTTTCTTAACTCATCCGCGTGTGTGTGTGTACGTTTCTTAACTCATCCACGTGTGTGTGTGTACGTTTCTCAACTCATCCGCGCGTGTGTGTGTACGTTTCTCAACTCATCCGTGTGTGTGTGTACGTTTCTTAACACATCCACGTGTGTGTGTGTACGTTTCTCAACTCATCCACGTGTGTGTGTACGTTTCTCAACTCATCCACACGTGTGTGTGTGTACGTTTCTCAACTCATCCACGCGTGTGTGTGTACGTTTCTCAACTCATCCACGCGTGTGTGTGTGTACGTTTCTCAACTCATCCACGTGTGTGTGTGTACGTTTCTCAACTCATCCACGTGTGTGTGTGTGTGTGTACGTTTCTTAACTCATCCACGCGTGTGTGTACGATTCTCAACTCATCCACGTGTGTGTGTGTACGTTTCTCAACTCATCCACGTGTGTGTGTGTACGTTTCTCAACTCATCCACGTGTGTGTGTGTGTACGTTTCTTAACTCATCCGTGTGTGTGTGTACGTTTCTCAACTCATCCACGTGTGTGTGTGTGTACGTTTCTCAACTCATCCACGTGTGTGTGTGTGTGTACGTTTCTCAACTCATCCACGCGTGTGTGTGTGTGTACGTTTCTCAACTCATCCACGTGTGTGTGTGTGTACGTTTCTTAACTCATCCACGCGTGTGTGTACGATTCTCAACTCATCCACGTGTGTGTGTGTACGTTTCTCAACTCATCCACGTGTGTGTGTGTGTACGTTTCTTAACTCATCCGTGTGTGTGTGTACGTTTCTCAACTCATCCACGTGTGTGTGTGTGTACGTTTCTCAACTCCCCCCATTCATTCATCCGCTCGTTCGCTTCTCTCGCTCCCGTCCCCTCCCTCATTCGACGCACGTCAGCCCTGGGCAGCCTTCGTCACGTCACGCGCGTGACCGAATATGACTTGATGTGACCTTGCGTGACCTCATCTGACCTCACGCGACCTCGTGTGACCCCCGCATGACCCCCCCCCCCATCGCGCGTTGACCTCTGACATTTGAACTCGCTCCGACTTCAGGGGGAAGAATTTCGCGAGTTCCTGCTCACCAAACTCATCAACGCCGAGCACGCCTGCTACCGAGCCGACAAGTTCGCCAAACTCGAGGTACCCCCCCCCTCCCGCCCCCCCCCCCCCCCACGTCACACCACGCCCGGTGTACCCCTCCGTCCGGGCTGCCTGCTTCCGCCCGGCCACGCGTTGGCCGGGACATTTACCGGGGTCCATGGACCGAAAGTCGCTGCACGGCGTTCGCGGTTCGCACGCCTCGCGGTACGTCCAAGTCGTCATCCTCCTCGTCGTCGTCGTCGTCAGTCCGTTGGATGTTTGGTCCGTTGGTGGCTTTGTCAGTCAGGTTGTTCTGGCACCAGATTGGTCGGTCATCGGGCGGCCAGATGCTCGGTTTTTCGGTTCGCCGGCACGTCAGCTTGTCGGCCAGCCATTCCGTAAGCCGGTTCGATCTTCGGTCAGTTGGTCAAGTCGCTCGCTCGTTTGGGCATTTGTCAGTCAGCCAGACGTTCGATCTGCCATTCAGTCAGTCGGTCAGTTGGTCGGTCACTTGGTAAGCCGGTTGTATGTTTAGTCAGTTCGTCGGTCGCTCGCTCGTGTGGTCGTAGTCGTCGTACCGTCGGAGGTTCGCTCCGCCGCTCGGGCGCCGGGTCGCACCCACGTAGAGGGCTGCTCGCGTGTGTCTGTGTGTGTCTGTGTGTCTGTATGTGTCTGTGTGTCTGTGTGTGTGTCTGTGTGTCTGTGTGTGTGTCTGGGTGTGTGTGTGTCTGTGTGTGTGTGTCTGTGTGTCTGTGTGTGTGTCTGTGTGTGTGTCTGTGTGTGTGTGTCTGTGTGTGTGTCTGTGTGTGTCTGTGTGTGTGTGTGTGTCTGTGTGTGTGTGTGTCTGTGTGTGTGTGTCTGTGTGTGTGTGTGTCTGTGTGTGTGTGTCTGTGTGTGTCTGTGTGTGTCTTTGTGTGTGTGTCTGTGTGTCTGTGTGTGTGTCTGTGTGTGTCTGTGTGTGTCTGTGTGTCTGTATGTGTCTGTGTGTGTCTGTGTGTCTGTATGTGTCTGTGTGTGTCTGTGTGTGTCTGTGTGTGTGTGTGTCTGTGTGTGTGTGTCCGGCAAAACAACCCCCTACCTCCTCGCGGTGCCGGACGGGCGACTCTGTCGTGGAGAGCGCTGTGGGGGGAGATCCAATTTTGATTGGAACCTCCCCTCATGGCATATGTGTCCACCACAGGGGCTAAACGGGGGCTCTGGACGGGTGCGAGGGGCTGGTAACCCCTCCACCTTCAATTAATTACCACGAAACTACGAATGAAATATGTAACAACTAAGCTTGTGCCGGAGGCCCCGGGGGGCCAGGCGTCTATGACGTCTCCTGGCCAAACCCCAATTGGCGGAGCCAGGAGATTGAATACCTACCCTCGGGGCTACTCCAGAAACAACGAAAAGCCACTACGGTTGGCCACGTGGAATGTTCGAACGCTCACTGTAGAGGAGAGGCTGCCACTCCTCTGTCGGGAGCTGGACCGGTACCGCCTGGATCTATGCGGCATTCAGGAGGTCCGGTGGACCGGCTCTGGCTCCTGCCACCATGAGGGGTGGACAGTCCTCTACTCGGGGCAGCAGACTGCCAAACAACAGGTATGGGTCTTCTTTTGAACAAAAGAATGAAGGGGGCGTGGGAGCGTGGCGGTGAGGTGTGGGAAGCTGTAAGCCCCAGGCTACTTTGGGCTCGCCTTCCCATCAACCGGAGGCGAGGAATGGTGGTCGTGGTTACTTATGCCCCCACCGAAGATGAACATCCGTGGAGGGATGCAGGCAAAGCCGATGAGTCAGATGCCTTCTATGACCTCCTGTCACAGGTGCTGGCTAAAGTGGCCCCTCGGGATAGAGTCATCATGTTGGGTGACTTCAATGCCCGAGTTGGTCATGATACTGGCACCTGGTCTGGAGTGATTGGAGGGCATGGGCCAGATCAGCTCAATAACAACGGTAGGAGGCTGCTAGATTTTTGTGCAGCCCATGGGCTTGTAATTACCAACACGCTGTTCCGGCATCGGCGCATCCACACAACATCATGGATGCATGCCGGGTCCAAGCAAGAACATCTGCTGGACTACATAGTGACGGACCAGCGAATGCGAGCCCATGTCCTTGACACCAGGACCTACCGTGGAGCTGATCTGCCCTCTGACCATCGACTAGTCATCTGTAAGATGCGCCTGCCATTCTTCCACTCCGGTGGTGGGTGTACACCCAGGACCCCATTCCAACCTAAAGTGGCCTGGTCTCAGTTATCTGATGAAAGTTGCAAGCGAGAATTTCATCATCGCTTGCGGCTGGGATTGGCATCGTCCCCGACTCCTCCTGATGTCGAGGGTAAATGGGCGAGGTTTAGGACTGTGACTCATGCAGCTGCAATGGCTGCTTTGGGTACGCGGTCCAGACCTCCCCAGACACCCTGGATGACAGAGGAGTTGTTCAGGATGGTTGAGAAAAAGCGACAGGCCCACTGTCATCGGCTACAGAATCCCACGTCAGAGAATGAGGAGGCTTACCGCAGCCTTCGCTCGGAGGTTCGGAGAGCCGTGAGGCGCTGCAAGGATGGGTGGTGGTCGCGGGTTGCTGAGGAGATGGAGTCTGCCTCAGTGACCCGTGATCACAAATCTCTATTTAACTCCATCAAAAAAGTAACCTGCAGCGCCACACCTATTACCATCATTAGGGGAAAAAACGGTGATCCAATTTCTGACCCCCAGGAACAGGTTCGCAGATTTGCTGAGCATTTCTGTGAGGTCCTGGGGGAGGGAAAATCCCTCAGCCAGGAAAACATCGCGGCACAAAGTGAGGATGACCCTGCTGAGGCTGCGGTGCCTCAAATATTGGATGAAGTCACCCCCTGTGAGTGGCTGGCTGAGGTGCCATCTGCTGAGGAAGTATTGAAGGCGATCCGGAGTCTGAGACCAGGAAAGGCAGCGGGCAGAGATGATCTCCCAAGCGAAATGCTGAGGGAGGGTGGCGTTTGTGCACAGACTGCCCTATATGACATCATAACAACAGTCTGGACCACTGGACGGGTTCCGCAGGATTGGAAGGATGCCCTGGTGGTCCCCCTTTTTAAGAAGGGGGACCGCACAGACTGTAACAACTACAGGGGCATCTCACTCCTCAGTGTGCCGGGAAAGGTCCTGGCAAGGATTATTCAGCATCGCCTTGCCAGGCACGCTGAGGAGAGGCTTGCGGAGCCCCAATGCGGTTTCAGGAAAGGGCGGTCCTGCACAGATGCCATATTTTCTGTCCGTCTGCTACAGCAGAGGTGTAGGGAATTCCAACAAGACCTACATCTCTGCTTTATTGACCTGGTCAAGGCCTATGATACCATCAGTAGGCCTGGGCTCTGGGTCGTTCTTCGTGCTTTTGGAGTACCTGACCCTCTGCTCACGATCATTAAGGACCTTCATGATGGTGAGCGGGCCCGGGTAAAACTACGTGGCCGGGAGTCAGAGCCATTCCCTGTACACCTTGGGGTGCGACAGGGATGTCCTTTGGCTCCCACATTATTTAACATCTATTTTGACCACGTAGTTCGTGAAGCCTTCAATAGCTGTACCGGGGGAATCTCCATATGGTACAGATATAATGGGAGGCTAATCGATGCCCGGGTGCGGTCAAGGGATGGCTCCCTATTGCTCAACCACGTTATGTATGCTGATGACTTGGTAATAGCTGCTCAGTCAGAGGAGGAGTTGGAGACGCTGCTGCTGAGACTGGAGCATGCCACTAAGAGGTGGGGCCTTACCATCAGCCCCACCAAAACTAAGCACCTGCCTGGGTATTTTGTACCATCGGACACTCCACCACCACAACTCCCAATCGGTGATGGGGCAGTTGTGGAGAGAGTGGAGAGTTTCCCATACCTGGGCAGTGTGCTTATGACTGGCTCCAGTTTAACAGCAGAGGTCTCACTCCGAATCAGTCGAGCGGCAATATCTTTTCATCGGTTGCGTAACGCTGTGTGGAAGCTACCTGGTCTGTCGCTCCGCACTAAGCTTCAGGTCTTCTCGGCCACGGTCATTCCCTCCCTTCTCTATGCTTGCGAAACGTGGACCCCCCTAATGGAACATCTTCGCCGGTTAGAAACATTTAGGCTGGCCTGCCTACGATCCATCCTGGGTTTAACCAGACTGGATTGTGTGAGGAGCTCACAAATCCTTGAAAGATCTGGGCAGGGTCCCATCGGTGAGCTCCTCCGGCAGGCAAGGCTGCGATGGCTGGGTCATGTAGCCCGCATGCCCAGCCACCGCATGCCGAAACAGCTTTTGTTTGGCCGGATTGAGGGGGCTAAGCGGGCGCGGCACGGGCTAGAGAAGAGATGGAGTGATGTGGTACAGGAGGACGTGGAGCTGAGTGGACTTGCCGATGACTGGTACCAGCGGTGTCAAGATCGGCCTCTGTGGAGGAGGCTCGTGAAGGATGCTACTGGGCAGTTGGAGGCAGTCGCCCTCCAACAACAACGGAGGGCGGAGGAGCGACGCTCACAACAGCGAGCGGAGCGCCGGGTGGCTAAAGCACAGCAGGTTGGCACAGTAGGGGGCACAGGTGGTGCATCAGCCAGTCATCTCAGTCAGTCGACCCGTGGCACCTGGGTCTGCCCCGTGACCTCCTGCCAGCGGGCGTTCGACACTTCACGTGGCCTCAGGGTGCACATAGCCTGGCACAAGCGTCGTGGTGACGTCACCGCCACTTAGTGGCGAATGGCGGTTGTTGTTGTTGTTGTGTGTCTGTGTGTGTGTCTGTGTGTGTGTGTCTGTGTGTGTCTGTGTGTGTGTCTGTGTGTCTGTATGTGTGGGTGTCTGTGTGTGTCTGTGTGTGTCTTTGTGTGTGTCTTTGTGTGTGTGTGTGTGTGTCTGTGTGTGTCTGTGTGTGTGTGTCTGTGTGTGTGTCTGTGTGTGTGTCTGTGTGTGTGTCTGTGTGTGTGTCAGTGTGTGTGTGTGTGTGTCTGTGTGTGTGTCTGTGTGTGTGTCTGTGTGTGTGTCTGTGTGTGTCTGTGTGTGTGTCTGTGTGTGTGTCTGTGTGTCTGTGTGTCTGTGTGTGTGTCTGTGTGTGTGTCTGTGTGTGTGTGTGTCTGTGTGTCTGTGTGTGTCTGTGTGTCTGTGCGTGTGTCTGTGTGTGTGTCTGTGTGTGTGTGTGTCTGTGTGTGTGTCTGTGTGTGTGTCAGTGTGTGTGTGTGTGTGTCTGTGTGTGTGTCTGTGTGTGTGTCTGTGTGTGTGTCTGTGTGTGTCTGTGTGTGTGTCTGTGTGTGTGTCTGTGTGTGTGTGTGTCTGTGTGTCTGTGTGTGTGTGTGTGTCTGTGTGTGTGTCTGTGTGTGTGTCTGTGTGTCTGTGTGTGTGTCTGTGTGTGTGTCTGTGTGTCTGTGTGTCTGTGTGTGTGTCTGTGTGTGTGTCTGTGTGTGTGTGTGTCTGTGTGTCTGTGTGTGTCTGTGTGTCTGTGCGTGTGTCTGTGTGTGTGTCTGTGTGTGTGTGTGTCTGTGTGTGTGTGTGTCTGTGTGTCTGTGTGTGTGTGTGTCTGTGTGTGTGTGTGTCTGTGTGTGTGTGTGTCTGTGTGTCTGTGTGTGTGTGTCTGTGTGTGTGTCTGTGTGTGTGTGTGTGTCTGTGTGTGTGTGTCTGTGTGTCTGTGTGTGTGTGTGTCTGTGTGTGTGTGTCTGTGTGTGTGTGTCTGTGTGTGTGTCTGTGTGTGTGTGTGTCTGTGTGTGTGTGTCTGTGTGTGTGTCTGTGTGTGTGTGTGTCTGTGTGTGTGTGTGTGTGTGTCTGTGTGTGTGTCTGTGTGTGTGTGTCTGTGTGTGTGTGTCTGTGTGTGTGTGTGTCTGTGTGTGTGTCTGTGTGTGTGTCTGTGTGTGTGTGTGTCTGTGTGTGTGTGTCTGTGTGTGTGTGTGTCTGTGTGTGTGTCTGTGTGTCTGTGTGTGTCTGTGCGCGTGTCTGTGCGTGTGTCTGTGCGTGTGTCTGTATGTCTGTGTGTGTGTCTGTGTCTGTGTGTGTGTGTCTAAGTACGTGTCTGTGTCTGCACCTGCGCAGGAGCGCACGCGTGCGGCGCTGCTGGAGACGCTGCACGAGGAGCTGGCGCGCCGCAGCCAGGCCGTGCTGGGCCTGCCCGGGGGCCCCGGGGACGACGACCGCGCCGAGAACGGCGCCGGCGGTGGCGGCGGCGTTGGCACCGCCACCGCCACCGCCGGCAGTGGCGGTGGCGGCGGCGGCTTTCTCGAGTCCTTCAAGGTACTGCCTCCGATGTCTTCTCCTCGGTGTTTGCGGTGTGGGGTGGAGGGACGGGGACGGGGGCGGGGGTCGAGACAGAGAGAGACACACAGAGAGAGAGAGACAAAGAGACAGAGCGAGACACAGAGAGAGAGAAAGAGGCAGAGAGAGAGACAGAGAGAGAGAGACACAGAGAGAGACAGACACAGAGAGAGACAGACACAGAGAGACAGAGAGAGAGACACAGAGAGAGAGACACAGAGAGAGACAGAGCGAGACACAGAGAGAGAGACACAGAGAGAGAGAGACACAGAGAGACAGAGAGAGAGACACAGAGAGAGACACAGAGAAAGAGAGAGACAGCGAGAGAGACAGCGAGAGAGACACAGAGAGAGACACAGAGAGAGAAAGACAGCGAGAGAGACAGCGAGAGAGACACAGACAGAGAGAGACAAAGAGACAGAGAGAGATACACAGAGAGAGAGAGACAGCGAGAGAGACAGCGAGAGAGACACAGAGAGAGAGAGACACAGAGACAGAGAGAGAGACACAGAGAGAGAGAGACAGCGAGAGAGACACAGAGAGAGAGACAGAGAGACAGAGCGAGACACAGAGAGAGAGAGAGAGAGACAGAGCGAGACAGAGAGAGAGAGACACAGAGAGAGAGAGACAGAGAGAGACACACAGAGAGAGAGAGAGACAGCGAGAGAGACAGCAAGAGAGACACAGACAGAGAGAGACAAAGAGACAGAGAGAGATACACAGAGAGAGACAGCGAGACAGCGAGAGAGACAGAGAGAGAGAGACAGAGAGACAGACACCCGGTCGAATCCTTCGAGCACCGGACGGAATCTGGACATCTCTCATGCTCGCCGAGCATCATCTCGTCCGTGAGCGGAAGATTAAAAGTAGCAGCAGTAGCAGCAGTAATAGCAGTAGCAGCAGTAGCAGCAGTAGTAGCAGTAGTAGCAGCAGTAGTAGCTGTAGTAGCAGCAGCAGTAGTAGCAGCAGCAGTAGCAGCAGCAGTAGCAGCAGTAGCAGTAGCAGCAGTAGCAGCAGTAGTAGCAGCAGTAGCAGCAGTAGTAGCAGTAGTAGCAGCAGTAGTAGCTGTAGTAGCAGCAGCAGCAGTAGTAGCAGTAGCAGCAGTAGCAGCAGTAGTAGTAGTAGCAGCAGTAGCAGCAGTAGTACTAGTAGCAGCAGTAGCAGCAGTAGTAGCAGCAGTAGTAGCAGTAGTAGCAGCAGTAGCAGCAGTAGTAGTAGCAGCAGTAGCAGCAGTAGTAGTAGTAGCAGCAGTAGCAGCAGTAGTAGTAGCAGCAGTAGTAGCAGTAGTAGCGGCAGTAGTAGCAGTAGTAGTAGCAGCAGTAGCAGCAGCAGCAGTAGTAGCAGCAGTAGTAGTAGCAGCAGTAGTAGTAGCAGCAGCAGTAGCAGCAGTAACAGCAGCAGTAACAGCAGCAGTAGCAGCAGTAGCAGCAGCAGCAGCGGCAGCACCAGTAGTAGCAGCAACAGCAGCAGCAGCAACAGCAGCAGCAGTAACAGCAGCAGTAGCAGCAGTAGCAGCAGTAACAGCAACAGTAGCAGCAGTAGCAGCAGCAGCAGCAGCGGCAGCACCAGTAGTAGCAGCAACAGCAACAGCAGCAGCAGCAACAGTAACAGCAGCAGCAGCAACAGCAACAGCAGCAGCAGTAACAGCAGCAGTAGCAGCAGTAGCAGCAGCAGTAGCAGCAGCAGCAGTAGCAGCAGTAGTAGTAGTAGCAGGTGGTCCCCTACACCGCCCCCGCACATTCGGAGAAGGGTGCGGAGTCGTCCGCAACCTCGACGCCAGAGGCCCTGGAACCTGCTGGAGGACGGTGACTCCAACGTTGGACAACTCACTGCTCCCCGCATGATAAACACCTCCTGCTATGCTGCAGCAACTTGTCTAAAACGCTTGGACGGGACGTGCCCGGTTTGTCTGTCGGACGAGGCCCAAACGGCAACACGACTTTCGCAGGCGAGTTTGGTTCCGGCTTGGTTCCGGCTTGGTTCCGGTTTGGTTCCGGCTTGGTTCTGGTTTGGTTCCGGCTTGGTTCCGGTTTGGTTCCGGTTTGGTTCTGGTTTGGTTCCGGTTTGGTTCCGGCTCGGTTCCGGCTTAGTTCTGGTTTGGTTCCGACTTGGTTCGGCTCGGTTCCGGCTTGGTTCTGGTTTTGTTCCGGCTTGGTTCCGGCTTGGTTCCGGGTTGGTTCTGGTTTGGTTCCGATTTGGTTCTGGCTCGGTTCTGGCTTGGTTCCGGCTTGGTTCCGGTTTGGTTCCGGCTTGGTTCTGGTTTGGTTCCGGTTTGGTTCCGGCTCGGTTCCGGCTTGGTTCCGGTTTGGTTCCGGTTTGGTTCTAGTTTGGTTCCGGTTTGGTTCCGGCTTGGTTCCAGCTCGGTTCCGGCTGGATCCAAAATGGTGGCGAGATGTTAACCACCTCGCCTGGTACACAGGAGATCGTGGGTTCGATCCTGACCCTGACGCCTGTTACTGTGTCGTTGGAGTTTGCGGTGTCTCTCTCTCTTCCCGTGATCACGTGGATTTTTCTCCGGGTCCTCCGGATTTTCCCTCCACATTTAGACTCAACGTGACGCGTTTAGAGTCTTTGGCTGCTGTAAATTTCCTCGTTATGGTGATATGCCTCTTCGTGTAGCTATCATTTGGTGATAGCCAGGTAGCTGGTAAAATAAACATAGCGCACTAGTTTAGTTTCATGTCTCTGTGTCTCTCCCTCTCTCACTATTTCTGCCTCTCTCGGTATATCTCTCTCTCTCCTTCTCTCCGTCTCCCTCTGTCTCCCTCCTCCGTCTCTCTCTCTGTCCCTCTCTGTCTTTCTCTGTCTCCCTCCTCCGTCTCTCTTTCTCTCTCTGTCTCCCTCTGTCTCCCTCTGTCTCTCTCTGTCTCCCTGGCTCCCTCCTCCGTCTCTCTCCGCGGCCTCAGCGAGTGATCCGCGGGCGTAGTCAGTCGATGGACGCCATGGGAGCGGCGGTGAAGAAGCAGACCGCGGCGGGGGGAGGTGGTGGCGGCGTGGCCACCGCCGGCGGCTCGGCCACCTTGGCCTCGTCGAGCCACGGAGCGCCGCTCATCAGCCACAGCGTCAGCGACAGCAGCGCCAGGGCCGCCGGGATCGTGAGTGTCGGAACCGCTCACCGCTCAACGCTCACTGCTCACTCACCACCGCTCATTCACCACCGCTCACCGCTCACCGCTCACTCACCACCGCTCACTCACCACCGCTCACCGCTCACCGCTCACTCACCACCGCTCACTCACCACCGCTCACCACCACTCACCACCGCTCACCACTCACCGCCACCGCTCACTCACCACCGCCACCGCTCACTCACCACCGCTCACCACTCACTCACCACCGCTCACCGCCACCACTCACTCACCATCGCTCACCGCTCGCCGCCACCGCTCACTCACCACCACTCACTGCCACCGCTCACTCACCACCGCTCACTCACCACCGCTCACTCACCACCGCTGACCGCCGCCACTCACCGCCACCACTCACTCACCACCGCCACCGCTCACCGCCACCACTCACTCACCACCGCTCACCGCCACCGCTCACCGCCACCACTCACCGCTCACTCACCACCGCTCACTCACCACCGCTCACCGCCACCGCTCACCGCCACCACTCACCGCTCACTCACCACCGCTCACTCACCAACGCTCACCACCACTCACCGCCACCGCTCACTCACCACCCCCACTCACCACCCCCGCTCACCACCCCCACTCACCACCCCCACTCACCACTACTCTCCCCCCTCCTCCTCCCAGTACAGTTGTCGCGAGACCGATCTCCCACTCCCGTGCCACCTTGTTTCACAACTTTACATTACGTTCATCTTTTCTCGCACAAAGATCCCCCGCGTAGCCTTAACAGACTTTTGGGGCAAGTGCTGTCAGCGAGTAGCACCGGCACGGCACACGAGGAGGTGGGTGGCCAGCGCCACGCCCGACCGCCTTTGTCTCCCCAGTGGCGATATTTACCACACACCACACCCAGGTACTCATTTGAGGCTGAGTCAGGACCGGTTCAGATAATCGTCACCGGTGAGCGTGAATCGAACCCGGTTCGTCGTGCAGCGCAGCGCGAACCCCGACGCCGCCGCTCCCCGCACAGACACACAGACACACAGACGCACAGACTCACAGACACACAGACTCACAGACACGCAGACGCACAGACGCACAGACTCACAGACACACAGACTCACAGACACACAGACGCACAGACGCACAGGCTCACAGACACACAGACTCACAGACTCACAGATGCACAGACACACAGACACACAGACTCACAGACGCACAGACACACAGACTCGCAGACGCGCAGACACGCAGACGCACAGACGCACATACACGCAGACGCACAGACGCACAGATGCACAGACGCACAGATGCACAGACACACAGACACACAGACACGCAGACGCACAGACGCACAGATGCACAGACACACAGACGCACAGACGCACAGATGCACAGACGCGCAGACGCGCAGACGCGCAGACACGCAGACGCACAGACGCACAGATGCACAGACACGCAAGCGCAGGCGGAAACGCACCCCCTAACCCGCGCGTCTCGCCCCCCCCCCCGCCCCCTCTTGCCCCCCTGTCAGTCGTTGCTCGTTCCAGGGAAGAGCCCCGCAAAGCACGGACGCAGAGGCAGTGCCATTGGCATAGGCACCATAGAGGAGGTGGCCACGGCTCTCTTGCTCTACCTCCCGCTTCCTCCTCCTCCTGTGTTGACCACGATCGGCGCTGACCCTGCCGATTTGGCTAATGGAACGCTGCCGACCCAGCAGGGCTTTAACTTGTCCACAAAATCATTTTAACTTCTTAACTTGTCCACAAAATCATTTTAACTTCTTAACTTGTCCCCAAAATCATTTTCAGGGCCGCCCAATTGCCCAACCACCAAACCCGGAATGACTCCTCCACCACCACCCCCTCCCACCTCCCCCACCCTAGACCCCACCCTAGACCCCACCCTAGACCCCACCCCCACCTCCCCTCCTCCAGCCCCCCCCCACCCTAGACCCCACCCTAGACCCCACCCTAGACCCCACCCTAGACCCCACCCTAGACCCCACCCTAGACCCCACCCTAGACCCCACCCTAGACCCCACCCTAGACCCCACCCCTACTCCCCCCCACCCTAGACCCCACCACCCCCTCCCGCCTCCCCCACACTAGACCCCACCCTAGACCCCACTTTCCCCCTCCCTAGACCCCACCCCCACCCTAGACCCCACCCCTACCCTAGACCCCACCCCCACCTCCCCTCCTCCCGCCTCCCCCACCCTAGACCCCACGCCCCCCTCCCCCTACTCCCCTCCACCCCCCACCCTAGACCCCACCCCCACTCCCCCCATCCCTCACTTTAGACCGAGACCCCCGCTCCCCCCCCCTCACAACAGTGAGCGAGGAAGTTAATTTTCCAGAGCCCCAAACAATTCTGGCTGAAATTAAGCCCCGGCTATTATTGGTGTCATTCGTGGTGGTGGCCTGCTGGTTGTTGTTGTTGTCGTCGTCGTTGTCATCGTTGCGGTGGTGGTGGTGGTGGTGTCGTGCACGTGACTCGTCATCTCACACCCCTGCCCCCCCCAACACGTCTCTGACCTCCCAGCCGCGACCACGCGGGAAATGATCTCTGACCCCGGCGACTCGTGCCAACGAACGATTCTCTTGGTTTCGGTTAAATCTCAATTGTCAGACCGCAATGGTGAAATCTTGATGAGTGAATCCACTACGTTTTCATTTGCACACCTCGCTCGCCTCTCCTGTCGACCGAGATTTAGAATTTCAAAAAAAATTTGTAATTTAAAATCCGCAAAGTTAGTTCGGTCGAATGCTGCGTTAAATTCCTCGATTGAACCCTTAAGACAAAGCGTCTGCTGACACCCCGAGCTGACAATCGTGCGTCGGCAGAACATCCGCTTAGTCCCCCTCGTCCAAAATGCGTTGACTGTAGTTGACTCAATAACGATAATATCAATAGCAATACATTTTTACACGTTGAATATTTGCGCTGTCGTTGATTCTCAAAGTGCAGCGCCTCTCACCATGAAGGCGGGCGCCGCCGCTGATGCGAATTGAATACAACGCGGTCGAGCGAACGGAACTACGTCACGCGAGTGGGACTAAGCGGTGGTACGGCTGCCTCGGCTCAGCATCGCACAAGGCGGGATGCTGCTGGATGCTTCTAGATGCTACCCGCACGTCTCGGTTTTTGTCCGGCCCTGCCTGCGCATCTCACGTATGATCGCGGACTGTGCTTTGCCCGGTATTATTTACGATTTTTTTTAATTTTCCCGCATTATCGGAGGACACTGGCTGTATTTGTTAATTACGGAAAGAGAAGGGAAACGGGTACATTTGCAGGAAAGAGATCCAGTTTGTTTCCGATTAACTGGTGGAAGTGTGTCCGTCTCCAGCGCCCGAACTAGGACCCCGAACGTACCGCTGCAAAGCTCACGGGCGGACGGGACGGACGGACGGAATAAAATAGCGAACGCGATTCATCGTCGCGTGTCGATCGTAAAGGGAGGTCCGGTGGTTTCATCGGCAGTCTGCGGAATCTAAGCGAATCGTCGTAACCCCCCTGGATCCTCCCACGCCTTACCAATCGCTTGCATCGAAAATCTCCGTTCCGTCTGGGAATTCCGACTGCTTGTCGAAAAATCTCACTCGGGCCATCTCAATCGGGGCTGATTGTTGTTCAGGAGCAGCGGTTGATGGTGAGAGCGGAAAGCCTGTGGCCTGGCAAAGGGGCTAGATGTTATCTCCCTCGCCTGGTATGCAGGAGGTCGTGGGGTTCCGTCTTTGTATTTGGATATGTCGTGTTCTCCCAGTGGTCGCGTGGATTTTTCTCCGGATCCTCCAGTTTTTCCCTCCACGTTTAGAATCGTGCGTTTAGAGCATTTGGCTTCTGCTATAAATGTCCACGTGACGACGATGATGATAAGCCCCACTTCGTTGAGCTATCATTTGTGATGACCAGGTCGCTTCTGAAAAAAGAGCTACGTGGCTCAGTGGGGCCCTTGCCTGGTCAAATTAAAATAGTTTTGCTTAACGAGTGGTTTGTTATCTTCATAAAAAAAATGTTTTGAAAAGAACGACCGAAGTCCACAGCAGTGGACTGCAGCCGCCGGTCGAGTATTTTTGCGGACAATGCGAATTGTCTCGAGCGAGTCCTTTTCCTGCGGAATTGAGAGAAAACTTGAGTGGTCCGTAGAGACGGAGAGAGAGTGAAAGGGCGGGTGGAGAAATCGCGGGAAGTTTCAGTGGAATCCGAGAGAGGGAATAGAAATGCGAGAAGCCCTGGGTGATACGGGGACAACGGCGGAGAAATCTGCTGAGAATTCGAAAAACAAACGTGGAGAAACGTCAGAGGTGAAACAAATCCACAGACGACGCTGGAATATTGAGAATAATCGATGAGAGAGATGTGGGGAAACCTGACCCCACCTCCCCCCCGGGGCCCTCCCACGTCTCCACAGCCGGAGACTCTCTCACGGCGAGAGCCACGCGAGCCGTGAGCTGCCAGCAGCGCGACGAGGACGTCCCACGGCGATTAAAGCCGTGGGACGTCGATGACGACGACGATGATGACGACGTCGATGACGACGACGATGACGACGACGATGACGACGTCGATGACGACGACGGTGATGACGACGTCGATGACGACGACGATGACGACGACGATGACGATGATGATGACGACGATGACGACGACAATGACGAAGACAATGACGAAGACGATGACGGCGATGATGACGACGACGATGACGACGACAATGATGACGACGATGACGACGACAATGATGACGACGATGACGACGACGACGATGACGATGATGATGACGACGACGATGACGACGACAATGACGAAGACAATGACGATGACGACGATGACGACGGACCAAGTGTCCTGCGCTCCAAGGGGGCCACGTAGAGAAGTAAAGAACTCGGCTTCATTCCGGCCGCTGGGCTTCTCTCTCTCTGTTGTCAGGACCCAGGCTTTCCCATCAGCCACTGCGTTGGAATCTGTGGTATTACTCGCTGATCTTTTTCACTGCCCGTGCCACTCTGGTTGCACAAGCGAGTCAACTCAGGTTGCACAAGCGAGTCTACTCTGGTTGCACAAGCGAGTCAACTCAGGTTGCACAAGCGAGTCTACTCTGGTTGCACAAGCGAGTCAACTCAGGTTGCACAAGCGAGTCAACTCGGGTTACACAAGCGAGTCAACTCAGGTTGCACAAGCGAGTCAACTCAGGTTGCACAAGCGAGTCAACTCGGGTTGCACAAGCGAGTCAACTCGGGTTGCACAAGCGAGTCTACTCGGGTTGCACAAGCGAGTCTACTCGGGTTGCACAAGCGAGTCTACTCGGGTTGCACAAGCGAGTCAACTCAGGTTGCACAAGCGAGTAAACTCAGGTTGCACAAGCGAGTCAACTCAGGTTGCACAAGCGAGTCAACTCAGGTTGCACAAGCGAGTCAACTCAGGTTGCACAAGCGAGTCAACTCAGGTTGCACAAGCGAGTCAACTCAGGTTGCACAAGCGAGTCAACTCAGGTTGCACAAGCGAGTCAACTCAGGTTGCACAAGCGAGTCAACTCGGGTTGCACAAGCGAGTCAACTCGGTTGCACAAGCGAGTCAACTCAGGTTGCACAAGCGAGTCAACTCAGGTTGCACAAGCGAGTCTACTCTGGTTGCACAAGCGAGTCAACTCAGGTTGCACAAGCGAGTCAACTCGGGTTGCACAAGCGAGTCAACTCAGGTTGCACAAGCGAGTCAACTCAGGTTGCACAAGCGAGTCAACTCGGGTTGCACAAGCGAGTCTACTCGGGTTGCACAAGCGAGTCTACTCAGGTTGCACAAGCGAGTCAACTCGGGTTGCACAAGCGAGTCAACTCAGGTTGCACAAGCGAGTCAACTCGGGTTGCACAAGCGAGTCTACTCAGGTTGCACAAGCGAGTCCACGCGTAGGTGGAGGAGGAGGCTTCTTCTCGTGGTTGGAGCCGAATCGTGTTCCAGCACTGTCGAACCGCGACAGGTCCACGGAAACAAACATCAGTAATGCGTCGAGGTCAGGAGGTGACCGCAGCCCGTAGCGACTCGCTCGTGTCAACCCGGGCTGAGCGTCGTAGTTGCCGGCGCTGGTCGTTGTCACGTGGTGGTTGAGACGCCTGTCCCCACCGTGTGACCACCCCCCGACCCCTGACCCCTGACCCCCACCCCCCAGGCATTGATCATCCCCAGCAAGAGCCCTGTGCGCAGGAAGTCGAGTCCGTTCGGCGCTCGCAGGAGCAGCGCCATCGGCATCGAGAACATCCAGGAGGGGCCCGAGATCCGGTGAGGGCCCCTGGGCCGCTCGCCCCCGCTCACTCACTCACTCACCTGCTCACTCACCTGCTCACCTGCTCGCTCACTCACTCACTTAATCACTCACCTGCTCGCTCACTCACTTACTCACTCACCCGCTCGCTCACTCACCTGCTCACTCACTCACCTGCTCACTCACCCGCTCGCTGACTCACTCACTCACTCACCTGCTCACCTGCTCGCTCACTCACTCACTCACTTAATCACTCACCTGCTCGCTCACTCACTTACTCACTCACCCGCTCACTTACTCACCCGCTCACTTACTCACTCACCCACTTACTCAGTCACTCACTTACTCACTCACCCGCTCACTTACTTACCCGCTCACTTACTCACTCACCCACTTACTCATTAACTTACTCACTCGCTCACTCACTCGCTCACTCACTCACTCACTCACCCGCTCACCTGCTCGCTCACTCGCTCACTCACTCACTCACCCGCTCACTCACTCACCTGCTCACCTGCTCGCTCACTCACTCACTCACTTACTCACCTGCTCGCTCACTCACTCACTTACTCACTTACTCACCCACTCACTCGCTCACTCACTCACTCGCTCACCTGCTCGCTCACTTACTCATTCACTCACTCACCCGTTTAACTCGCTCACTCACTCACTCACCCGCTCACCTGCTCGCTCACTTACTCACTCACTCACTTACTCACCCGCTCACCTGCTCGCTCGCTCACTCACTTACTCACTTATTCGCTTAACTCGCTCGCTCACTCACTCACTCACTTACTCACTTACTCACTCACTCACTTACTCACTCACTTACTCACTCACTCACTTACTCACTCACTTACTCACTCACTCACTTACTCACTCACTTACTCACTCACTCACTTACTCACTCGTTCGGTCGCTCACTCACTCACTCATTCGTTTAACTCACTCACTCACTCATTCGTTTAACTTACTCACTCATTCGTTTCACTCACTCACTCATTCGTTTAACTCACTCACTCATTCGTTTAACTCACTCGCTCATTCATTCGTTTAACTCACTCACTCATTCGTTTAACTCACTCGCTCACTCATTCGTTTAACTCACTCACTCATTCGTTTAACTCACTCACTCATTCGCTTAACTCACTCACTCACTCATTCGTTTAACTCACTCACTCATTCGTTTAACTCACTCGCTCACTCATTCGTTTAACTCACTCACTCATTCATTTAACTCACTCGCTCACTCATTCGTTTAACTCACTCACTCATTCGTTTAACTCACTCGCTCACTCATTTGTTTAACTCACTCACTCACTCATTCGTTTAACTCACTCACTCACTCATTCGTTTAACTCGCTCACTCACTCATTCGCTTAACTCACTCACTCACTCATTCGTTTAACTCACTCACTCATTCGTTTAACTCACTCACTCACTCATTCGTTTTACTCACTCATTCACTCATTCGTTTAACTCACTCGCTCACTCATTCGTTTAACTCACTCACTCATTCGTTTAACTCGCTCACGCACTCATTCGCTTAACTCACTCACTCACTCATTCGTTTAACTCACTCACTCACTCATTCGTTTAACTCACTCACTCATTCGTTTAACTCACTCGCTCACTCACTCATTCGTTTAATTCGCTCACTCACTCATTCGTTTAACTCACTCGCTCACTCACTCATTCGTTTTACTCGCTCGCTCACTCACTCATTTGTTTTACTCACTCACTCGATTAACTCGCTTGACCAATCATCTACTCGCTCATATGCTCACTTGCCTACCTGCTCGCTCGCTCACTCACTCACTTACTCGCCTGTCTACTCACTCGCTGAATCGTCTACTCGCTCACTCACTCATTTACTCGCTCGCTCAATCAACCCCACGGTCGCTCACTCAACCATCTACTCGCCCGCCCACTCGTACAGTAAGGGAAAAAAGTATTTGATCCCCTGCTGATTTTGTACGTTTGCCCACTGATAAATAAACGATCAGTTTATAATTTTAATGATAGGTTTATTTGAACAGTGAGAGACAGAATACAACAAAAAAATCCAGAAAAACGCATGTCAAAAATGTTATAAATTTATTTGCATTTTAATGAGGGAAGTAAGTATTTGACCCCCTCTCAATCAGAAAGATTTCTGGCTCCCAGGTGTCTTTTATACAGGTAATGAGCTGAGATTAGGAGCACACTCTAAAAGGGAGTGCTCCTAGTCTCAGCTTGTTACCTGTATAAAAGACACCTGTCCACAGAAGCAATCAATCAATCCGATTCCAAACTCTCCACCATGGCCAAGACCAAAGAACTCTCCAAGGATGTCAAGGACAAGATTGTAGACCTACACAAGGCTGGAATGGGCTACAAGACCATTGCCAAGCAGCTTGGTGAGACGGTGACAACAGTTGGTGCGATTATTCGCAAATGGAAGAAACACAAAAGAACTGTCAATCTCTCTCGGCCTGGGGCTCCATGCAAGATCTCACCTCGTGTAGTTGCAATGATCATGAGAACGGTGAGGAATCAGCCCAGAACTACACGGGATGATCTTGTCAATGATTTCAAGGCAGCTGGGACCTTAGTCACCAAGAAAACAATTGGTAACACACTACGCCGTGAAGGACTGAAATCCTGCAGCGCCCGCTAGGTCCCCCTGCTCAAGAAAGCACATATACATGCCCGTCTGAAGTTTGCCAATGAACATCTGAATGATTCAGAGGGCAACTGGGTGAAAGTGTTGTGGTCAGATGAGGCCAAAATGGAGCTCTTTGGCATCAACTCAACTCGCCGTGTTTGGAGGAGGAGGAGGAATGCTGCCTATAACCCCAAGAACACCATCCCCACCGTCAAACATGGAGGTTGAAACATTATGCTTTGGGGGTGTTTTTCTGCTAAGGTAACAGGCCAACTTCACCGCATCAAAGGGACGATGGACGGGGCCATGTACCATCAAATCTTGGGTGAGAACCTCCTTCCCTCAGCCAGGACATTAAAAATGGGTCGTGGATGGTTATTCCAGCATGACAATGACCCAAAACACACCACCAAGGCAACAAAGGAGTGGCTGAAGAAGAAGCACATTAAGGTGCCAAACGTCAGCCTCGAAACCTTAATGACTTGGAGAAGATCTGCAAAGAGGAGTGGGACAAAATCCCTCCTGAGATGTGTGCAAACCTGTTGGCCAACTACAAGAAACGTCTGACCTCTCTGATTGCCAACAAGGGTTTTGTCACCAAGTACTAAGTCATGTTTTGCTGAGGGGGTCAAATACTTATTTCCCTCATTAAAATGCAAATCAATTTATAACATTTTTGATATGCGTTTTTCTGGATTTTGTTGTTGTTATTCTGTCTCTCACTGTTCAAATAAACCTACCATTAAAATTTTAGACTGATCATTTCTTTGTCAGTGGGCAAACGTACAAAATCAGCAGGGGATCAAATATTTTTTTCCCCTCACTGTATATCTTCTTACCCCTGTGTCCCCGCGTGTCCCCCCATCTCCCCCGTGTGTCCGCAGCGAGGGCTCGCTGGGCTCGCACAAGGCCGCGGAGAGCGATCGCACCTTCCCGGAGCCTCGCTCCGACCACTCGAGCCAAAGCTCACCCGAGATGCCCACCGCCAAGTACGGGTGGCTCCACCACGCTCGCCCACCACTCACTCACATAGACCACCACTTACACGCACAAACTCCACCACTCACTCACATAGACCACCGCTTACACACACAAACTCCACCACTCACTCACGTAGATCACCGCTTACACACACAAACTCCACCACTCACTCACATAGACTACCACCTACACACACAAACTCCACCACTCACTCACATAGACCACCACTTACACGCATAAACTCCACCACTCACTCACATAGACCACCGCTTACACGCACAAACTTCACCACTCACTCACATAGACCACCACTTACACACACAAACTCCACCACTCACTCACTCACATAGACCACCACTTACACGCACAAACTCCACCACTCACTCACATAGACCACCACTTACACGCACAAACTCCACCGCTCACTCACATAGACCACCACTTACACGCACAAACTCCACCACTTACTCACATAGACCACCACTTACACGCACAAACTCCACCGCTCACTCACATAGACCACCACTTACACACACAAACTCCACCACTCACTCACATAGACCACCACTTACACGCACAAACTCCACCACTCACTCACATAGACCACCACTTACACAGACAAACTCCACCACTCACTCACATAGACCACCACTTACACGCACAAACTCCACCACTCACTCGCATAGACCACCACTTACACGCACAAACTCCACCACTCACTCACATAGACCACCACTTACACACACAAACTCCACCACTCACTCACATAGACCACCACTTACACACACAAACTCCACCACTCACTCACATAGACCACCACTTACACGCACAAACTCCACCACTCACTCACATAGACCACCACTTACACACACAAACTCCACCACTCACTCACATAGACCACCACTTACACACACAAACTCCACCACTCACTCACATAGACCACCACTTACACGCACAAACTCCACCACTCACTCACATAGACCACCACTTACACACACAAACTCCACCACTCACATAGACCACCACTTACACACACAAACTCCACCACTCACTCACATAGACCATCGCTTACACGCACAAACTCCACCACTCACTCACATAGACCACCGCTTACACACACAAACTCCACCACTCGCATAGACCACCACTTACACGCACAAACTCCACCACTCACTCACATAAACCACCACTTACACGCACAAACTCCACCACTCACTCACATAGACCACCACTTACACGCACAAACTCCACCACTCACTCACATAGACCACCACTTACACACACAAACTCCACCACTCACTCACATAGACCACCACTTACACGCACAAACTCCACCACTCACTCACATAGACCACCACTTACACGCACAAACTCCACCACTCACTCACATAGACCACCACTTACACACACAAACTCCACCGCTCACTCACATAGACCACCACTTACACGCACAAACTCCACGGCTCACAAAGTGGAAGGAACAACGTAAGTGCAGGTCATCGTCAAGGTCAGGGGTCTCACCTCTGGCCCACCCCCCCACGCGTGCTGCAGGGTGGTGGTCTCCGTGGGGTCCAAGGGCAACAACAACAACGGTGGGGGGGCGACGGCGCTGCACCTGTCGCGCTCCTCGTCCAACGCGAGCAGCTTCACGAGCGTCGCCGAGGAGCACGAGGAAGGGCTCGACGAGTACGACACGGGACTAGTGAGTACGACACGGGACTAGTGAGTACGACACGGGGCTAGTGAGTACGACATGGGGCTCGACGAGTACGACACGGGACTAGTGAGTACGACACGGGACTAGTGAGTACGACACTGGACTAGTGAGTACGACACTGGACTAGTGAGTACGACACGGGACTAGTGAGTACGACACTGGACTAGTGAGTACGACACGGGACTAGTGAGTACGACACTGGACTAGCGAGTACGACACTGGACTAGTGAGTACGACACTGGACTAGTGAGTACGACACGGGGCTAGTGAGTACGACATGGGGCTCGCGATTACGACACTGGACTAGTGAGTACGACACGGGACTAGTGAGTACGACACTGGACTAGTGAGTACGACTCTGGACTAGCGAGTACGACACTGGACTAGTGAGTACGACACGGGACTAGTGAGTACGACACGGGGCTAGTGAGTACGACACTGGACTAGCGAGTACGACACGGGGCTAGCGAGTACGACACGGGGCTAGCGAGTACGACACTGGACTAGCGAGTACGACACTGGACTAGCGAGTACGACTCTCGACTAGCGAGTACGACACGGGGCTAGTGAGTACGACACTGGACTAGCGAGTACGACACGGGGCTAGTGAGTACGACACTGGACTAGTGAGTACGACACTGGACTAGTGAGTACGACACTGGACTAGCGAGTACGACTCTTGACTAGCGAGTACGACACGGGGCTAGCGAGTACGACACGGGGCTAGCGAGTACGACACTGGACTAGCGAGTACGACACTGGACTAGCGAGTACGACACTGGACTAGCGAGTACGACTCTCGACTAGCGAGTACGACACGGGGCTAGCGAGTACGACACGGGGCTAGCGAGTACGACACTGGACTAGCGAGTACGACACTGGACTAGCGAATACGACACTGGACTAGTGAGTACGACTCTGGACTAGCGCGTACGACACGGGGCTAGCGTGTACGACACTGGACTAGCGAGTACGACTCTGGACTAGTGAGTACGACTCTGGACTAGTGAGTACGACACGGGACTAGTGAGTACGACATGGGACTAGCGAGTACGACACTGGACTAGCGAGTACGACTCTGGACTAGTGAGTACGACACGGGACTAGTGAGTACGACATGGGACTAGTGAGTACGACACTGGACTAGTGAGTACGACACTGGACTAGCGAGTACGACACTGGACTAGCGAGTACGACACTGAACTAGTGAGTACGACTCTGGACTAGCGAGTACGACACTGGACTAGTGAGTACGACTCTGGACTAGCGAGTACGACTCTGGACTAGTGAGTACGACACTGGACTAGCGAGTATGACACTGGACTAGTGAGTACGACACTGGACTAGCGAGTACGACCCTGGACTAGTGAGTACGACACGGGGCTAGCGAGTACGACACTGGACTAGTGAGTACGACACGGGACTAGTGAGTACGACTCTGGACTAGGGAGTACGACACTGGACTAGTGAGTACGACACTGGACTAGTGAGTACGACACTGGACTAGTGAGTACGACTCTGGACTAGGGAGTACGACACGAGATAGCGAGTACGACACTGGACTAGTGAGTACGACACTGGACTAGCGAGTACGACACGGGGCTAGCGAGTACGACACTGGACTAGTGAGTACGACTCTGGACTAGCGAGTACGACACGGGACTGGTGAGTACGACACTGGACTAGTGAGTACGACACTGGACTAGTGAGTACGACTCTGAACTAGTGAGTACGACACTGGACTAGTGAGTACGACTGGACTAGTGAGTACGACTCTGGACTAGTGAGTACGACACGGGACTAGTGAGTACGACACTGGACTAGCGAGTACGACACTGGACTAGTGAGTACGACACGGGGCTTGCGAGTACGACTCTGGACTAGCGAGTACGACACTGGGCTAGTGAGTACGACACGGGACTAGCGAGTATGACACTGGACTAGCGAGTATGACACTGGACTAGTGAGTACGACACGGGGCTAGCGAGTACGACACTGGACTAGCTAGTACGACACTGGACTAGCGAGTACGACACAGGACTAGTGAGTACGACACTTGACTAGTGAGTACGACACTGGACTAGTGAGTACGACACTGGACTAGTGAGTACGACACTGGACTAGTGAGTACGACTCTGGACTAGTGAGTACAACACTGGACTAGCGAGTACGACACTGAACTAGCGAGTACGACACTGGACTAGCGAGTACGACACGGGACTAGTGAGTACGACACGGGACTAGGGAGTACGACACTGGACTAGTGAGTACGACACGGGGCTAGTGAGTACGACACTGGACTAGCGAGTACGACACTGGACTAGCGAGTACGACACTGGACTAGTGAGTACGACACTGGACTAGTGAGTACGACACTGGACTAGCGAGTACGACACTTGACTAGTGAGTACGACACTGGACTAGTGAGTACGACACTGGACTAGTGAGTATGACACTGGACTAGCGAGTACGACACTGGACTAGTGAGTACGACACTTGACTAGTGAGTACGACACTGGACTAGTGAGTACGACACTGGACTAGCGAGTACGACACTGGACTAGTGAGTACGACACGGGGCTAGCGAGCACCACACGGGACTAGGGAGTACGACACTGGACTAGTGAGTACGACACGGGGCTAGTGAGTACGACACTGGACTAGCGAGTACGACACTGGACTAGCGAGTACAACACTGGACTAGCGAGTACGACACTGGACTAGTGAGTACGACGCTGGACTAGTGAGTACGACACTGGACTAGCGAGTACGACACTGGACTAGCGAGTACGACACTGGGCTAGTGAGTACGACACTGGACTAGTGAGTACGACACTGGACTAGTGAGTACGACACTGGACTAGTGAGTACGACACTGGACTAGCGAGTACGACACGGGACTAGCGAGTACGACACTGGACTAACGAGTACGACACGGGGCTAGCGAGTACGACACTGGACTAGTGAGTACGACACTGGACTAGTGAGTACGACACTGGACTAGTGAGTACGACACTGGACTAGCGAGTACGACACTGGACTAGTGAGTACGACACTGGACTAACGAGTACGACACTGGACTAGCGAGTACGACACCGGGCTAGTGAGTACGACACTGGACTAGCGAGTACGACACTGGACTAGCGAGTACGACACTGGACTAGTGAGTACGACACTGGACTAGTGAGTACGACACTGGACTAGCGAGTACGACACTGGACTAGTGAGTACGACACTGGACTAGTGAGTACGACACTGGACTAGTGAGTACGACACTGGACTAGCGAGCACCACACTGGACTAGTGAGTACGACACTGGACTAGCGAGTATGACACTGGACTAGCGAGCACCACACGGGATAGCGGGGATCGCGAGGACCGCACGTAGCAGTGAGCACGATGGTGGGGAATCACGCTGATAGGGAACAGACGGATTAGGTTCAAGGCACCGTTAAGAAAAGTCGGTCGGCTTGACGGACGGCACTAATGACAAGAGAGGCAGCGGGACTAATGACGAGGAGGGGAGCGCGCCCGAGCGTACGTACGGCGCGGAGATGGAGTGTGACGAAGGGGGGGGCGGTTGGGGGCGGCTCGTGTGCAGGAGGAGCGCGAAGGAGCGTCGTGCCACGCGGGAGGTGGCACCGGCTCGTGGTGCCCTTCGCCCGGCGATGGATCTTACGCGGCTGACGATGACCGTGATGTGCCGCAGGAGAGCCTGTCCTCGGCTGGCACGCCCCACAAGCGCGACTCCTTCACCTGCAGCACCTGGCTGGACGACAGCATGGCCGTCGCCAGCAGCGGCGGCGGCGGCGGCGCCCCCGGTGCCGCCGCCTCTCCAGGTGAGACGGACGCCGGTGAATCCCGGCATGCCACGTCCCGGTGCGCCTCTGTGTCTCTCCTAGCGGCGGAGGCCCTCGTCTGCCAGCGGTGGCGTGAGCGAGCGGTTGCAGGGGCTGAGCCTCTGGTGCCTGATGTTATTGCACCAGTTGCTGCACCGCCCGGCTCGGAGCCTTGCGAAGGGGCCACCCAATGGGCTGAATGCACCGCCAGGAGGCAGGGTGGGTGGGTGTTGTGTGTGGGTGGGGTGGGTGGGGTGGACGAGTGGGGTGCGGTGGGCGAGTGGGGTGGGGTGGGCGGGTGGGGTGGGCGAGTGTGATGGGATGGGTGGGGTGGAATGGGGTGGGGTGGGATGCTTGGATTTGGCGGGTGGGGTGGGTGGGGTGGGGTGCGGTGGGTGGGTAGTTTGTGTTTGGTTGGTGGAGTGGGGTTGGGTGGGGTGTGGTGGGTGGGGTGGGGTTGGGTGGGGTGGGGTGGGTGGGGTTGGGTGGGGTGGGGTTGAGTGGGGTTGGGTGGGTGGGGTGGTTTTGGTGGGTGGGGTTGGGTGGGTGGGGTTGGGTGGGGTTGGGTGGGTGGGGTTGGGTGGGTGGGGTGGGGTGGGGTGGGGTTGGGTGGGGTTGGGTGGGGTGGGTGTGGTGGGTGGGGTGGGGTGGGTGTGGTGTGTAGGGTGGGGTTGGTGGGGTTGAATGGGTGGGGTGGGTGGGGTTGGGTGGGTGGGGTGGGGTTGGGTGGGTGGGTGGGGTGGGGTTGGGTGGGTGGGGTGGGGTGGGTGGGGTTGGGTGGGGTGGGTGTGGTGGGTGGGGTGGGGTGGGTGTGGCGGGTGGGGTGGGGTTGGGTGGGTGGGGTGGGGTTGAGTGGGTGGGTGGGTGGGGTGGGGTGGGTTGGGTGGGTGGGGTGGGGTTGGGTGGGTGGGGTGGGTTGGGTGGGTGGGGTGGGGTTGGGTGGGTGGGGTGGTGTGGGTGAGGGCCATGTGCCACAGTGACTCCAGTGAAAATGGTTTATGGGCGTCACGACGAAGCCAACGCAGTGTTATCGACAGACGTGTTGGGATTTTGGTCGAGCATTCACTTTGGAGGTCACCGAAAATAATTTCAGAACCAGTGAAATTATTTAAAGTTTTCGTTTGCCACAGAGCTGATTCCCTAGTGCGGATAGCGAGGCAATTGATGTGAATTTAAAAGTAAACTAAAACATGTTTTTATTCTGTTGTAGCTCATTTTCAGAAGCCACCTGGAAATCACAAGTGTTGGCTCAACCAAGTGGATTATCATCACGTACAAATCAATGGGAGCCAAATAACTCTGAACGCATTTTAATTCTGAATGTGGAGGGGAAAACCCAGAGGAGCCGTAGACAAATCCACTAGACCATGGGGAGAACACGCAAACTCCAAACACACAGGCGCCGGGATCGAACCCACGTCCTCCTGTGTGCGAGGCGAGGTAGTGAACATTCTGCCACCGTGGCGAGGTGTAGCTCTGCCGCGTGATCGTATCGCGAATTGTTCTCTGACACGGGGTGGTGCACCGCTCGCTGGGGTCATCGCAGACGGCCCACTGCGGTGGGACATGCGGAATGTGACCGGAGGATAATAGAATACAAGAAGAGAACGATCATTTTTTATTGTGATTATGATTTGACGTTGTTGTATGTTTCGTGACTTTGCCATTCCACTATTTTTATGTTAATCGCCGTGCGGTTTGTGTTGTCGTGTTTTTGTTTCCCATTGTCGTGTCGTGTGGGCTCAGCCTCCGCGTGCCTCGCTGTGTCTGGGGACACATCAAAGCCAAACGGAAAGGTTAAGGGTCACCCAGTCATGAACCACTTGGTAAGAACCTTCAGACAACAAAAGTAAAACAGTACAGCAACAACGCGCGGACTTTAACCGATCCGCTGCCGGATCGAGGCCTCCCCTGAGGATCGTTTGACCATACTTCACCACGCTGGTCAATGCGGGTGGCTGACGTTGTGTGCGGGGGGGATCTGGAGGGGAACCCGTGCAGAACGGTGTGGGGGGGGGGGTGGGAGGTTCGCACAAACTCCACGGAGAAAGGCGCCCAGGTTGGGCATCTGGTACCCGCTGGGTGCCTCGTCGTCCCCGCGAGCGTTGCCGCTGCGTTGCCACCCATCACCGTGGAAACCCACGTGGGTCGCGGCGTCTGAGCGCCAGCGATCGCTCCGCGCTGAGCTGAGCTGCACCCCGCCCCGCATGCCGTGCGTGTGCCGTGTGTGTGTGTGTGCCGTGTGTGTGTGTGTGCCGTGTGTGTGTGTGTGCCGTGTGTGCGTGCGCCCCGTGTGTGTGCGTGTGCGTGTGTGTGCTGTGTGCGTGTGTGTGTGTGTGTGCGTGTGTGTGCTGTGTGTGTGTGCTGTGTGCGTGTGTGTGTGCGTGTGTGTGCCGTGTGCGTGTGCCGTGTGCGTGTGCCTTGCGTGCGCGCCCGGTGTGTGTGTGTATCTATTTACGTACGTAGAACTTCTTCTGCACCGTACGTAGCCAACCGTGCTGATCGTGTGTGTGTGTGTGGTGTGTGTGGTGTGTGTGATGTGTGTGGTGTGTGTGGTGTGCGCGGTGTGTGTGGTGTGCGTGGTGTGTGTGGTGTGTGTGGTGTGTGTGGTGTGCGTGGTGTGCGCGGTGTGTGTGGTGTGCACGGTGTGCGCGTTTGCGAGCAGATCGAGTCAAGAAGCCAGTGGCAGAGAGAGCTCAAGAGAGGGCAGCTGCTCACCCCAAGTGAGGAGGAGGAGCTCAAGTTCGAACCCTGCCTCTGACGACCGTGACGACGACGATGACAACGACAATGACGACGACGACGACGATGATGACGACGATGACGACGATGACGACGATGCTGATAGAACCGCCTGCGTGTTGTTTTTTTGTCGGCGCCCGGCGCGGAGGAACCGTGAGGTTTCTTGCGCCGCGTTCCTTCCACGCATCCGTCCACGTGTGCGTTGCTCCGTCTGTCTGTCCGTAGCTCGTCCGTCCGTCTGTATGTCCGTCTGTCTGTCCGTCTGTCTGCCCGGCTGATAGCTCGTCCGTCCGTCCGTCTGCCCCGTACATTGAGCCCTCCGCCTGTATTCGTGTCCGTCGCTGTCTCTCTCTGTCCATCGACGTGAATTTTTACCTTTTCATCCGTTCCATCCGTCTTCCTGTCTTCCTGTCTGTCCACCGCTCTGCCTGCCGGCCATCTCTCTCGTCACAAGTTCCTACCGCCATCACAAAGCCCCACCCATCCCACCCACCCCGCCCACCAACCTACCCCACCCACCCCACCCACCAACCTACCCCACCGACAACACCTACCAACCAACCTACCCCACCGACAACACCTACCCACCAACCTACCCCACCGACAACACCCACCCACCCCACCCACCAACCTACCCCACCCACAACACCTACTCACCAACCTACCCCACCGACAACACCCACCCACCCCACCCACCAAACTACCCCACCCACAACACCTACTCACCAACCTACCCCACCGACAACACCCACCTACCCCACCCACCAAACTACCCCACCCACAACACCCACCCCGGTCGCGCAGTTGTCGTCGTCATCATCGTCACGGTCGTCACCGTCGTCACAATTCCTCTGGGATCTGTGTAATGAGCAGTGGTGATGCTGGCCAATTGGGGGCTCAAGAACAGCAGAGATGAGTGATGAGATGTAGACCAGAGAGAGATGTTGATGTCTAGAGGTGACTGATGAGATGTAGACCAGAGATGTTGATGACTAGAGGTGACTGATGAGATGTAGACCAGAGATGTTGATGACTAGAGATGACTGATGAGATGTAGACCAGAGATGTTGATGACTAGAGGTGACTGATGAGATGTAGACCAGAGATGTTGATGACTAGAGGTGACTGATGAGATGTAGACCAGAGATGTTGATGACTCGAGGTGACTGATGAGATGTAGACCAGAGATGTTGATGACTAGAGGTGACTGATGAGATGTAGACCAGAGTTGTTGATGACTAGAGATGACTGATGAGATGTAGACCAGAGATGTTGATGACTAGAGATGACTGATGAGATGTAGACCAGAGATGTTGATGACTAGAGATGACTGATGAGATGTAGACCAGAGATGTTGATGACTAGAGATGACTGATGAGATCTAGACCAGAGATGTTGATGACTAGAGATGACTGATAAGATGTAGATCAGAGATGTTGATGACTAGAGATGACTGATGAGATGTAGACCAGAGATGTTGATGACTAGAGGTGACTGATGAGATGTAGACCAGAGATGTTGATGACTAGAGGTGACTGATGAGATGTAGACCAGAGATGTTGATGTCTAGAGATGACTGATGAGATGTAGACCAGAGATGTTGATGACTAGAGGTGACTGATGAGATGTAGACCAGAGATGTTGATGTCTAGAGATGACTGATGAGATGTAGACCAGAGATGTTGATGACTAGAGATGATTGATGAGATGTAGACCAGAGATGTTGATGTCTAGAGATGACTGATGAGATGTAGTCCAGAGATGTTGATGACTAGAGGTGACTGATGAGATCTAGACCAGAGATGTTGATGACTAGAGATGACTGATAAGATGTAGACCAGAGATGTTGATGACTAGAGATGACTGATGAGATGTAGACCAGAGATGTTGATGACTAGAGATGACTGATGAGATCTAGACCAGAGATGTTGATGTCTAGAGATGACTGATGAGATGTAGACCAGAGATGTTGATGTCTAGAGATGACTGATGAGATGTAGACCAGAGATGTTGATGACTAGAGGTGACTGATGAGATCTAGACCAGAGATGTTGATGACTAGAGATGACTGATGAGATATAGACCAGAGATGTTGATGACTAGAGATGACTGATGAGATGTAGACCAGAGATGTTGATGACTAGAGGTGACTGATGAGATCTAGACCAGAGATGTTGATGACTAGAGATGACTGATGAGATGTAGACCAGAGATGTTGATGACTAGAGGTGACTGATGAGATGTAGACCAGAGATGTTGATGACTAGAGGTGACTGATGAGATGTAGACCAGAGATGTTGATGTCTAGAGATGACTGATGAGATGTAGACCAGAGATGTTGATGACTAGAGGTGACTGATGAGATGTAGACCAGAGATGTTGATGTCTAGAGATGACTGATGAGATGTAGACCAGAGATGTTGATGACTAGAGATGACTGATGAGATGTAGACCAGAGATGTTGATGTCTAGAGATGACTGATGAGATGTAGACCAGAGATGTTGATGACTAGAGATGACTGATGAGATGTAGACCAGAGATGTTGATGACTAGAGATGACTGATGAGATCTAGACCAGAGATGTTGATGTCTAGAGATGACTGATGAGATGTAGACCAGAGATGTTGATGACTAGAGATGACTGATGAGATCTAGACCAGAGATGTTGATGACTAGAGATGACTGATGAGATGTAGACCAGAGATGTTGATGACTAGAGGTGACTGATGAGATGTAGACCAGAGATGTTGATGTCTAGAGGTGACTGATGAGATGTAGACCAGAAATGTTGATGACTAGAGATGACTGATGAGATCTAGACCAGAGATGTTGATGTCTAGAGATGACTGATGAGATGTAGACCAGAGATGTTGATGTGTAGAGATGACTGATGAGATGTAGACCAGAGATGTTGATGACTAGAGGTGACTGATGAGATCTAGACCAGAGATGTTGATGACTATAGATGACTGATGAGATGTAGACCAGAGATGTTGATGACTAGAGATGACTGATGAGATGTAGACCAGAGATGTTGATGACTAGAGGTGACTGATGAGATCTAGACCAGAGATGTTGATGACTAGAGATGACTGATGAGATCTAGACCAGAGATGTTGATGTCTAGAGATGACTGATGAGATGTAGACCAGAGATGTTGATGACTAGAGATGACTGATGAGATCTAGACCAGAGATGTTGATGACTAGAGATGACTGATGAGATGTAGACCAGAGATGTTGATGTCTAGAGGTGACTGATGAGATGTAGACCAGAAATGTTGATGACTAGAGGTGACTGATGAGATGTAGACCAGAGATGTTGATGACTAGAGATGACTGATGAGATGTAGACCAGAGATGTTGATGACTAGAGATGACTGATGAGATGTAGACCAGAGATGTTGATGACTAGAGATGACTGATGAGATCTAGACCAGAGATGTTGATGACTAGAGATGGCTGATGAGATCTAGACCAGAGATGTTGATGTCTAGAGATGACTGATGAGATGTAGACCAGAGATGTTGATGACTAGAGGTGACTGATGAGATGGTGACCAGAGATGTTGATGACTAGAGATGACTGATGAGATGTAGACCAGAGATGTTGATGACTAGAGGTGACTGATGAGATGTAGACCAGAGATGTTGATGTCTAGAGGTGACTGATGAGATGTAGACCAGAGATGTTGATGACTAGAGATGACTGATGAGATCTAGACCAGAGATGTTGATGTCTAGAGGTGACTGATGAGATGTAGACCAGAGATGTTGATGACTAGAGATGACTGATGAGATGTAGACGAGAGATGTTGATGACTAGAGATGACTGATGAGATGTAGACCAGAGATGTTGATGACTAGAGATGACTGATGAGACGTAGACCAGAGATGTTGATGACTAGAGATGACTGATGAGATGTAGACGAGAGATGTTGATGACTAGAGATGACTGATGAGATGTAGACGAGAGATGTTGATGACTAGAGGTGACTGATGAGATGTAGACCAGAGATGTTGATGTCTAGAGATGACTGATGAGATGTAGACCAGAGATGTTGATGACTAGAGATGACTGATGAGATGTAGACCAGAGATGTTGATGTCTAGAGATGACTGATGAGATGTAGACCAGAGATGTTGATGACTAGAGATGACTGATGAGATGTAGACCAGAGGTGTTTATGACTAGAGATGACTGATGAGATGTAGACCAGAGGTGTTGATGACTAGAGATGACTGATGAGATGTAGACCAGAGATGTTGATGACTAGAGATGACTGATGAGATGTAGACCAGAGATGTTGATGACTAGAGATGACTGATGAGATGTAGACGAGAGATGTTGATGACTAGAGATGGCTGATGAGATGTAGACCAGAGATGTTGATGGCTAGAGATGACTGATGAGACGTAGACCAGAGATGTTGATGACTAGAGATGACTGATGAGATGTAGACCAGAAGTGTTGATGACTAGAGATGACTGATGAGATGTAGACCAGAGATGTTGATGACTAGAGATGACTGATGAGATGTAGACGAGAGATGTTGATGACTAGAGATGACTGATGAGATGTAGACCAGAGATGTTGATGACTAGAGATGACTGATGAGACGTAGACCAGAGATGTTGATGACTAGAGATGACTGATGAGATGTAGACAAGAGATGTTGATGACTAGAGATGACTGATGAGATGTAGACCAGAGATGTTGATGTCTAGAGATGACTGATGAGATGTAGACCTGAGATGTTGATGACTAGAGATGACTGATGAGATGTAGACCAGAGATGTTGATGTCTAGAGATGACTGATGAGATGTAGACCAGAGATGTTGATGACTAGAGATGACTGATGAGATGTAGACCAGAGGTGTTGATGACTAGAGATGACTGATGAGATGTAGACCAGAGATGTTGATGACTAGAGATGACTGATGAGATCTAGACCAGAGATGTTGATGACTAGAGATGACTAATGAGATCTAGACCAGAGATGTTGATGACTAGAGATGACTGATGAGATGTAGACCAGAGATGTTCATGACTAGAGGTGACTGATGAGATGTAGACCAGAGATGTTGATGACTAGAGGTGACTGATGAGATGTAGACCAGAGATGTTGATGACTAGAGATGACTGATGAGATGTAGACCAGAGATGTTGATGTCTAGAGATGACTGATGAGATGTAGACCAGAGATGTTGATGTCTAGAGATGACTGATGAGATGTACACCAGAGATGTTGATGACTAGAGATGACTGATGAGATCTAGACCAGAGATGTTGATGACTAGAGATGACTGATGAGATCTAGACCAGAGTTGTTGATGACTAGAGGTGACTGATGAGATGTAGACCAGAGATGTTGATGACTAGAGATGACTGATGAGATGTAGACCAGAGATGTTGATGACTAGAGATGACTGATGAGATGTAGACCAGAGATGTTGATGTCTAGAGATGACTGATGAGATGTAGACCAGAGATGTTGATGACTAGAGATGACTGATGAGATGTAGACCAGAGGTGTTGATGACTAGAGATGACTGATGAGATCTAGACCAGGGATGTTGATGACTAGAGATGACTAATGACATCTAGACCAGAGATGTTGATAACTAGAGATGACTGATGAGATGTAGACCAGAGATGTTGATGACTAGAGGTGACTGATGAGATGTAGACCAGAGATGTTGATGACTAGAGGTGACTAATGACATCTAGACCAGAGATGTTGATGACTAGAGATGACTGATGAGATGTAGACCAGAGATGTTGATGACTAGAGGTGACTGATGAGATGTAGACCAGAGATGTTGATGACTAGAGGTGACTGATGAGATGTAGACCAGAGATGTTGATGACTAGAGGTGACTGATGAGATGTAGACCAGAGATGTTGATGACTAGAGGTGACTGATGAGATGTAGACCGAACACAAGAGATGTAGTGAGATTGAAAGACGAGAGATACAGACGAGATGGGCTGTTTATTATTATTATTATGCTTGTTTACCCAGGAAATCCTCAACCGAGTCTCAAGACTCATTTTCAGGAGGGTCCTGCCAAGTATTTCCACAGTAGGGGGTTGATGTTGTTGCTGCTGTGTGTGTGTGTGTTACCAATTGAGTAATGTGCAGGTACATTTTAGTGAGCATTGGGATGTTTGCCAATACCAGTTTTCTGTTTGGCCAATGCCATATTTTTGTGCGTGTTGTTTTAGTTACTAATTGTCATTGGATTTTTAGGATATATTTTTTTGTTAAATGTGAAATTCGATGCCGGTATATTGACAGATGCACCCCATATTTTTCTCATGAACCGTGTTGGGTGGGGGTGGGGTGGTTGGTGTGGGGGGGTGGTAGAGGTGGACGGGGATGGGGGTCTCTTGAACTACTTGGGGCCCTAGGGCTTTTGATTTTGCCGCCACTGGCAATGAGTGCTGTGGACGGGCCACCGTGTAGGGAACTGATCGGTGACCTCCCAGCGATTCTGGTAGCCTTGGCATTGCCTGGCAAGACGCCTTGGTTTGTACCTGTATCGCAAGGCATTGTTGATATAAAGCTGAGTCATATGATCCTTATGGCGGGACCCCGGGGTACCAAATAATACAAAATGGCCGAGGCAATTAAATATTTGATTTCTGGGACACTATTAACTCCACGACTGGGGTACCAATCAATCCGAAATCGGTGCCACACTCCGCGATGTCGAAACGCAGCGAGGTCGATTGTGCCGCAACCCTGAACGCTCGCGGTACACAACTTAGTGGTGGTGCATTGTGGGTACAGCTCGTCGAGATGAGTCGATTGCCGCATCGCCGACCATCAACAGACTCACTAGGACTGCATCACGGACATCACGCGAGAGCCGTGGTACCGCCATAAGGTTCATATCAACAAGTTCAGCACAATCCTGCACACACACACGTGGATCATGTCATCGCTTTCCAGGCGTGCGATTGTTTTCAAAAGGCATTCGCCCTCGGCCGCTCTCCGGTTTTGCGTCCCCACGACCGCGGGCAACGCTGCCTGCGGCGGACGTGGCCGCTGTTCTGATCGGGCGGGCGGGCGGGCCGGCCGGCGAGCGAGAACCCCTGCGGCAGCACGAACTTCGCACGGGAGTCGTCCCGACTTCCGTTTGCGTGCGTCGGGATCACCTTCGCTCGAGTTATCCGTGACCCACCCCCTGCCCCCGCCGGCTACAGACGCAGCCAACGCGTTAATCGCTCCGAGCCTTTGCTCGGGGGGGTGGGGGGGGGCAGTGGTTCTCCTCAAAAAGCGATGTGCCTGGTCCTGTGCGGTAGCTGTGTCGCGATGGTATCGTTTCGTTGGCACATTGCTTTATTGGACAAATACGTTCAACTTCTTTCGCGCCGTACGTAGCCAGCCGCGCTATTCGGAGGTGCGGGTGGGGAAGAACAAACACAGAAAGCAGTTCAATACAGAAAAGAGTTTTCAATATAGATGATGACGATGATGATTTAAAAGTGCGTAGCTCCACAGTGGCTTCCTGATGTCGGAAGGAAGAGCGGCGTTCCAGACGGCCGCGGAAAGCGCGTCTGAATGCGCCGCGCGATGCGGTGACCGTCTTTGTTCGATGGCTTTGAAGTTAAAAGCCGCCGCTGCTCTGGGGATGACCCCGGAGTTTGCGTCGCGACGGTTTTATCCAACAAACTCCGTTACCATCGGCTTGGACAGAACTCTCCGCCAACTCGACATCTTGGCCGCTCCGAGTTTCCGTCGTTGGTACCAGCACCGCATTCTCCGCCCCCCCCCCCGCCCCAAGTCACCCCACCCCCCCAGTCACCCCCCCAGTCACCCACTTCAGTCACCCCCCCCCGACCTCCCCCCAGTCACCCCTCCGCCCCCTCCACGCCATCCTCCCCCGCCCCCTCCCCAGTCCCCCCCCCCCCAGTCCCCCCCCTATCTGTGGCCACAGAGCACGACACAAACCGCCTTGCTCGGGGAGTACCGCTCACGAGCTGTGAATATTTATACCGTGCTACTGCTATTGCTGATTGCTTATTATTGTTGTTGTTGACCGCACGTGATCCCCTGTAGTTACTAAGACCAACGACACGCACACACAGAGACCCCCGCGTTAGACAGGAATTCGTTTCGCGCGTTGCTGCATTGTTTTTCATCTTTGGATGTCGCCACAATGTTCTTGTTGACGGCCGCGGGTCGTCCTCGCCTCCCCCCCCCCCGGCCCGCGCGAGCGTTCGACATTCTTCTCCTGCACGGTATCCATGCCACCGCAGCCTGCCGCCCCCCCCTCAACATGTTGATGCCCCCCCCCAACCACGAGCTAGCGCCTTCGACTAACACGGTCGGCTACATACGGTGCGAAAGAAGTTCAGCATATGTACGTACAGGCATACGTGCTGAACAAGTCGACTAAAAGAAAGTGCAGCTACTGTAGGTGTCCGGACAACCCCAGCACGATCAGGGTCACACCTGGTTCATGTTGTTACCTGTTCAGGCTCTCACCTGGTCCAGATTCTCACCTGGTCCAGGTCATCACCTGGTCCAAACTCTCACCTGGTCCAAACTCTCACCTGGTCCAAACTCTCACCTGGTCCAGACTCTCACCTGGTCCAGACCCTCACCTGGTCCAGACCCTCACCTGGTCCAGACCCTCACCTGGTCCAGACCCTCACCTGGTCCAGACTCTCACCTGGTCCAGACCCTCACCTGGTCCAGACTCTCACCTGGTCCAGACTCTCACCTGGTCCAGACTCTCACCTGGTCCAGACTCTCACCTGGTCCAGGCCATCACCTGGCCAGGCTCTCACCTGGTCCAGGCCATCACCTGGCCAGGCTCTCACCTGGTCCAGACTCTCACCTGGTCCAGACTCTCACCTGGTCCAGACCCTCACCTGGTCCAGGCCATCACCTGGTCCAGACCCTCACCTGGCCCAGACCCTCACCTGGTCCAGACCCTCCCCTGGTCCAGACTCTCACCTGATCTAGGTCATCACCTGATCCAGGCTGTGACGTACGAGGGACTTCTTGCTCAGGCTCCGCGCCTCCAACTTCTCGATCGAACGATGAGTCCAATCCGCGAAATCTAAGCGCGTGCGTTCTAAAGTGTGTTTATTATTTATTATGACGACCAGGAGACATCCACGGCATCTTTGGGGCACGAATTAAACTGTGGCGGGTTTTCTTCAATTCGGCGATGGGGACGACGGATATTCTTTCGACTTCCAGTGCCGACCCAACTCGTGACGGGAGCCCTCGAAATGTGCAGCGGCGGCGGCGGCAGCAGCCGCCACAGCAACGCGCACGCAGGAAGTCCGATGAGCACGGTTGGCTACGTACGGTGCGAAAGAAGTTCAGCGTGCAAGCAGCGTCGTCTCGGCGGTGAGAAAGCCGGGCGTCGCGGAGGAGGTTTCGCGGATCGGATCTGTAATCCATCCCCCAGTGACCGTACTACTACTACTATTGTTGTTTGTTTATTGTTGTTTGTTGGTTTCGTAGTCTCGTCGGCCCGCGTATTTATGAGCGTTCCGTTCCGGTGGGATGGGAAGCCAGAGGCCGGTGCTGCTGTGGTTCACGCATGGGCCGTGGTGGCCGTGGTGGCCGCGGTTGTGGTGGTGGTTGTGGTGGTGGCCGTGGCGGCCGTGGTGGTTGCCGTGGTTGTGGTGGTGGTTGTGGTGGTGGTTGTGGTGGTGGTTGTGGTGGTGGTTGTGGTGGTGGTTGTGGTGGTGGTTGTGGTGGTGGTTGTGGTGGCGGTGGCGCAGCGGTTGGCGCGCAGGGCTACAAACCCCGGCGACCCAAGTTCGATTCCAGCACACGGCCACCAACACCAATGACGATTATAGCTTTACCACCTTGGGTCACCGTGCCCACCGTGCCCACCGTGCCCACCGTGACCACGGTGACCCCCACCCCCACGTGCGTCGCGAGTGCCCCTGGCGATTGTGCCGCCCCCCCTGCCCCCCCCCCTCGCGCTCGCCGTCCCTCTCTGGAAGTGTTTCCTCGGGCATGGGGTGGCTTTTATTTTTGTGCCCATCGTAATCTCGATTCGTTGTCACGTCCGTCTGTACACGTGGCCTTCGTTTTCTCTGTCGTCGCTTTGTGTCCCGAGTCGTCGTCCCCCCCCCCCCCCACGGTGGCGAGGCCTCCAGGGCAACACTCGCGCGTAGGCAGCTCCGCGCCGTGCCGGTGCGTGCGTGGGAGGGTTCGTGCTGCCGCTCGGCCGACGTTTCGGCACCACGTCCCCCGACGTTTCGCTCCACGCGCCCGCGAACCCGCTCTGGCAACCGAGATCGTCGTTGTCGTCGTCGTCGTCCTCCGCCTACGGGGTCGCGTGGAGCAAACCGAAACGTCGGAAAAATCGTGCCGGGAGTCAATTCAGTCCGCGAAGAATGTTCCTTCCGGCACGCGTTGCGAAACGTCGGACACGGTACGGCAACAACCCAACTGTACGAGGTCTCCCCCATGCCAAACCCCTGCCCGGCACTTCCCGCGTCGTTTCCAAACAACCCCCATGGCTCCCCCATGGCTCCCCACATGCCTCCACATCCTGCGCATGATGCTGCGTGCCCACCCCAGCCTCTTCGTCTTAGTGTATCAGAGAGTTCAATGTTATTTATCAACGCCGTGAATAATAACGACCCCTTCCCCTGCGAGTGCAAGATGTGTCTAGTGCTTTCGTGTTTGTTTTTGGACGTCCGGCTTTTTGGGCTGCTTGTCTGGGCTGGGGTTTTTGTTGTTGTTGTATATAGTGTATATTTGTGTCAAGAGTGTTTGAATATATCTGGAAGCGGTTTCGATCACTGGTGTATATAATACAGGACTATTATTATTATTATTGGTAAGAAATGAGAAATAAAAAAAAGATTTAAGTGGCCTGTCGACAGCCTCCCAGCGCCTTGCTTCGCGTCTCCCTTCTGCCGGTGTTCCAGCGCGGCTCGTGATCGGCGCGGCACGCAAAATAAAATCCTCGGTTGTCGCCTGCCGCGTCACTCACGCAGAACTGCGTCGCGCGACCGGCCACGCGCGCTCAACATTTTCGTGCATAGAGAACTTTTTCTTTTCCTCGGGCCGGCGAACGAACGAGCAGAAGGAAAACCGGGACACACCCCCCTGGAGAAAAGCAAACCGGGTGCGAGGGCTCTGTGTGTGTGTGTAGACAGATGGGACACGGGGAGAGTGTCAGGGCAGTGTCTGTGTGTGTAGACAGATGGGACACGGGGAGAGTGTCAGGGTAGTGTCTGTGTGTGTGTAGACAGATGGGACAGAGAGAGAGTACCAGGGCAGTGTCTGTGTGTGTGTAGACAGATGGGACACAGGGAGAGCGTCTGTGTGTGTGTGTAGACAGATGGGACACGGAGAGTCGCCCGCACCGGTTGACCACCGCCTTCTCCTGGCGAGCCCAGGGTATGGCACCCTCCTCGACACCCTGCGGGGAGGGGGAGGCGGACCTTTGAAACTTTTGTGCGGCGATCCACCAACCCCCGCCCTTTGGCGCTGGGTTACAGGCCACGTGCGTAGCGACCGCTACACAGAAAATAAGTCCGAATCAAAATATTTATACCGGAGGAATCCGATGAGCCATAAAGCTCTTTTTCACATACGTCCCGGTGGCCTTGAAGCTGTATTTATTTACACGGTTAAACCAATTACGTGCTGGTGATGCTGTGTTGCTGCTTTCAGGTGGCGCATAAACACAAACCAGTATGAAGAATAAAATTAGGTTTTACCCTTTCTGGCAAATAAAACTGCTCACCCCGAGCTATGAATGCTCCGATACGTGTGGCATTGGCTTTGTCCTGCTTGCCTTTTGGCATTCTCTGGTCTGACACTGGTGAGACTAGGCCATACAGAAGGCCGTCTCTGGTGTAGGCCAATCAGTCTCAAAGACAATGCCCATATATAATTGTCAGAGCACGTTTTGTTTGCATGTTCACGACAAGTACGGTGTGTGGTTCATGCAGTAACGCGATTCCTTGCAAACGGTTTCTATTTTGTGTTTGAAACATCTTAACTCCTGCATTTATTGCGAGAAATGGTAAAATCTATTATTTTTCATACTTTGATACTGGCAAAGGTCACGATACAAACAAGCTCAACAATTCAATAACAATGTGGCCTTAAAAAAGGGGTGTGTATATATAACAGGTGACGTTTCAGGCCACGGCCCTTCTTCACGCAAGTTGAACTTATTTTGCGCCATACGTAGCCAACCGTGCTAACCCAGAGGTTGCAGGCCTCCTGGTGTAGCATTGTGCTCCGAAGGAGGCCACATTATCCAAACCGTTGGTTATTTTTTTCTTATTTTAGGGCCCACCGAGTTATTTGTCTTTACATTGGGTCCCCCCCCCCCCCTCCTCCAAGTTGACCATCGATGGGACATGGGAACTCGGTGCAGGCTCTTACCTGGTTAAAAAACACAAAAGGTAATAATGATAACAAGCCATCTTCTTTGTGATTAAACTTATTTTTTTTATTTTACCAGGGTAAGGCCCCACCGAGGCTACGTAGCCTCGGTGGGGCCTTGCAGAAGCGACCTGGCCACCACAAACGATAGCTCAACGAAGCGGCGTATCGTCGTGTGGAAATGTATCGCAGTAGCCAAACTCCGAACATGCGTCGAGTCTAAATGTGTACCCGGAGAACAATCCACAGGGAAGGCCCACTGAGCTACGTAGCTCTCTTTCAGAAGAGACCTGGCCATAAATGATAGCTCAACGAAGTGGGCTTATCATCGCGTGGAAATTTATAGCAGCCAAATACTCGATAAGCATGTTTCAAAAAATGTGGAGGGAAAAACCGGAATACCCGGAGAAAAATCCACGCGACCACAAGGAGGACACGCAAACTCCAAATATATGGGCGTCAGGCCCAGGATCGAACCCATGACCTCCTGTATACCAGGCAAGGTAGTTAACATCTCCAAGCCACCGCGGCACACCAAGTGGCTCGCTCATTTTCATCGTCCTCGAAGCGCGTGCCCAGTCGCCACACAGATCAAACGGCAAAAGCGGGATACGTTGATGGCAATCAATTTATTAACCGTCTTTGTTGCCACAAGTGTTGACAAAACCAACGCGTTGTTTAATAAAACACAGGACATCGTTGGGGGGGGGGGGAAGCGAAGAAAAAAATGTACGGTACCAACACGGAACAGGTTGAATAAAAATAAAAAATAAATCTCAGCGCCTGAGCATGTTTAACTCATTTATTTATATAACAAAACAAACCTGCTGGCAAATTGACCATGAAATTCGGTTAAGAGATGGTGGTGGGGGGGGGGGAAAGAGTGATTGAGAATGTCAGTAGGAGGAAGGAGAGGAGATCCGGAGAGGAGGGGGGGGGTGGAGAGGTGATGGGGGGGGGGGGGTACTTGGCTCTTTGTAAAAAAAAAAAGAAAAAAGGGGATTTTGAAACGTCGCGTTTGCAGTGTCAAGACGCGTGTGCACAAGGACGAGCCCGGCCGGTCTCCTCTGCGATCTTACTTCTCTCGGGTGGATCGCTCATCCGGCAAACGCCTGCAACGACAACGCCCCACCACAACGCGGTTCATCCTCCTCCTCCTCCTCCTTCCTCGCCTTCGCCCGTTGTCACGGGCAACGTCGTCGTCGTCGTAAGTGTGGTGAATACTTAGCGAGTCGGCACATGTTGCGGAATCTGCCAGTCATCTCACTCAACCCCGTAACGCACCACACAATTAACCCCAAGGCCTCAAAAGTGCACGCAGCCTGGCACAAGCGCCGTGGGGGTCATCACCGCCACTCGGTGGTGAATGGCGGCTGCCTGTAGTAGCTGCCTGTAGTAGCTGCCTGTAGTAGCTGCCTGTAGTAGCTGCCTGTAGTAGCTGCCTGTAGTAGCTGCCTGTAGTAGCTGCCTGTAGTAGCTGCCTGTAGTAGCTGCCTGTAGTAGCTGCCTGTAGTAGCTATAGCAGTTGTAGAAGCTGCTGCAGTAGCTATGCAAGTTGTACCTGGATGAGGGAGGGGCTCTCTTGGTTGGTTTCACTCCTCAGTAATCGCCTCGGCAGCCACGACGGGGGCCGGGGCGGAGGTGGGGGCGGGGGCGGAGGCGGGGGCGGAGGCGGGGGCGGGGGCGGAGGCCGGGGCAGAGGCAGGGGCAGAGACGGGGGCCGGGGTGGAGGCAGAGGTGGGGGCTTCATCCGAGCCCTAAGACAGAGGCGAGACAGACAATGGGAGAGGAAGATTGTCAGCTCGCCCATCATTAAAAAAATACAGTAAATATATTTTTGTATGTTTACAGGTAAGCCTCCACTCAACGACACGGCTCTGTTTCAGACGCGACCCGGCCATCACAAATGATAGCTCAACGAAGTGGGGCTTATCACGTGGAAATTTACGAGCGCGCGATGTTGTCGATTCTCAATGTGGAGGGGAAAAACTGGAGGACCCGGAGAAAAATCCACATGACCACTGGGAGAGAGACGCACAGAATCCAAATATAAAGCAGGCGTCAGGGTGGACATGGATATCGGACCCAGGTCCTCTTGCATACCAGGCAAGGTAGTTAACATTTCACCACCATTAACCCGCTGGGCCATGACACTGGAACCCAGCCGCGTGTCTCGACTCCACTCGTACAGGGTGCCAAGGTGGGGGAGATGTCAACTCCGTCGCCTGGTACGCAGCAAGTTGTGGGCTTTGCCCGGCAAATAAAACGGTCAATTTCAACTCTCAAATTTAATTGCCAAGTCTCAAGGACTCCCATTCTCACGCCGATGTTCTTATTCCAAGACGTTGCTAAAACCCAGCCTTCTCTTCGAGAGCCCTCGCTCGGAGACTTTGCCCAGCCCACCTCCCCCCCCCTACCCTCACTCTGAGCGTGCCAGAGAAGCAGCCACGCAAAACCCACCTTGTTGCTGGAGTCCTCCGTCGCAGTCGTCACCGCCTCCGTTGCTCCCTCCGCCGTCGCTCCCTCCGCCGCCGCCCCCTCCTGCTGCTGTTTGGGCTGTGCCGGGCGGCGTGGTTGCTGCGTGCGACGGTACTGGTGGTAGTACGGCCGCCGGTACCCGCCGCCGGGGCGCCGCTGCTGGGCCTGGTTCTCCTTGTCCTCTCCGCCGGCCTCCTCCCCCTCCGCCTGCTGCTGCTGCTGCTGCTGCTGCGGAGCTCGGGGGCGCGGGCGGTACCCACCGCTGGTGCAGCGAGCGAGGCGGGGGGACGACAAGTGGCGCCGGTATAAATTACCGGATTCGGGAGTCAAAACCTAGAGCCGCGGGGGTTCGTAGCGCAGCGTGCTAATCGCTACACGACCGCTCCCCCTATACACCACAGAGACAAAGATCCTACCGTATAGGCTTATCAGGCTGTCGGGGCAAGCGCTGTAAGCGAGCAGCACCTACGAAGGCCCGAACGGCACGAGAGGGGTGGGCGGCCAGCACCACGCCCGGCCGCCTTCGTCTCCCCAGTGCTGATGTTTTGCACACCGCGCCAGCGACTAATTTTAGGCCGAGTCGACCTAGAGGAGGCCCAGGACCGGTCCAGACAATAGCCACTGGGTGTTAAGCCACTGGCGTGGACGCGCAGGACACGCGCGCGTGCTGGACATCGGCACTGACCGTTGGTACGGCTGGCGGAACTGTCCCTGGAGAGGGCGCCGGTTCGTCGCCGGCGCTGCTCCTGCCTCCTCCTCAACGGCCTGCGGCGACGAGAGCCCGGCGGCAGCAGCGGCGGCGGCAGCGGCGGCGGCAGCAGCAGAGACAGAGAATGGAGCCTTCAGCCGCCGGAGCTCCCGTGGAGCTCTCTCTCTCACACACACGCAGCCACTTCTCCCGGCACGCAGCATCGACCGGGCGAGAGAGTTCTACGTACACACGCGTGTCCGAGCACGCGCCACCCCCCCCCCCCGCCCTGACGTGTGCGACCGCGTGCGCGGGGGGGAGCGGCAGTGTCGCGGTTAGCGCGCCGCGCTACAAACCTGGCGAGCCGAGTTCGATCCCCGCTCAAGACCAACCATCGTTAGCCTTGCGTGCGTGCAAGTCGGGGAGGGAGGGGGGGGGGGGGGGGTCTGTCCCGTGAGCTACAGGCGAAACCTCAGCACCCTCACACGGCCTCAAAGCGCACCGAGCCTGGCACAAAGCACTGTGGTCACCGGCGCTTCGCGGCAAACGGTGGCTTTGATTGCGCGTGTACGTTTGTAGACACAAAGCGGGGACAAGTCATGCACGTACGTAGAACTTCTTCCGCACCGTACGTAGCCAACCGTGCTAATCGGAGGTGCGCGGGGGGGGGGGGACAACAATAATGGGGTAAAATAATAAATTGATAAAATAACACAATAATATTCTCACGACGTTTCGGCCACAACACAAGCGGCCTTCATCAGGTGAAGGGACGAGACTGTCTGGTAGGACAGCGCTAAATTAGAATTTAGCATTGCTAAATTTAGCATTGCTAAATTCTATGCTAATTCCTTTGTCAAGGGGTGCCTCTGCGGATGTGTATGCTTTAACTTTTAACATAGCTATTTCTGTGACCAGTCACAAGCTAATCACTCAGCCATTTCAATGCTAAATTATATGCTAATTCCTTTGTCAAGGCGCTTTGTTTCCTCTCACACAGCTTAAAGGTCGTGATCTGAACGTGGCTCTTTCACTCCAGCGCTGTCCTACCAGACAGTCTCGTCCCTTCACCTGATGAAGGCCGCTTGTGTTGTGGCCGAAACGTCGTGAGAATATTATTGTGTTATTTTATTTTATCAATTTATTATTTTATTCTCATTCTACGTGACTTTACCGAAAGAACCAAAGAAGATGAATCATTGCAGTCACGAAAGCTTGAAATAGAAATAATGGGGTAACCGAGTGGATTAGGGAAGGAAGGAAGGGGGAGCGGGAGGGGAGTCAGAGTGGGGGTGGGTTTCTTACCGCAGCGTCTCCCCCTTCTCCATTCTCCCCGCCCTCCTGGTTCTGTGTTTGGGAGCCAGAAGAACAAGACGAACACACACGGTGGGGTTAACGCGCTGCGGCGTGTGTTCACCTTGCACATGCTAGGCGCTGCCCCCCGCTTCACAGCGAATATTAAAGGTCCAGTGGGGAGACGCTCGCAAGAGGTGGAGAGGACAATGTGTGACGGAGTCGCGGTCTGGATTAGAAAATTTCGACCGCTAATTACTCGACTGGAGGTCGTCCTGGCTCAACGAACGTCACGAATGATAAATAAATAAAAATCTCGCACACACAACGGCAAAGATCCCCCGTATAGCCTTAACAGACTTTTGAGACAAGTGCTGTTAGCGAGCACCTATGAAAACCGGCGTGGCGCACGAGGGGGTGGGTGGCCAGCACCACGCCCGGCCGCCTTCGTCTCCCCAGTGGCGATCTTTTCGCACCGCACCAGGTACTCATTTGAGCCCGAGTCGACCCACGGGAGGCCCAGGACCGGTTCAGATAATCGTCACTGGCGTTAGCCATGAGCGCGAATACAGCAGGCGTCAGGGTCGGGATCGAACCCACGACCTCCTGTACACCAGGCGAGGTAGTTAACATCTCCTAGCCAACGCGGTTTAGGGTGGGGGGGGGGGTGGGGCAGGGGTGCACATCTGGACTCACGTTGGGGCGCCGTCTCTGTGGGTAAGAACGACGGTAGCGGCCCCGGTCGGCCGCGTAGCGACTGCCCTGCACGGCCGCGCCGTCGGGGCCCGTCACGTTCGCCGCCTCCGCTCCCTGCACGGCACGTGGGGGGTGGGGGGGTGGGGGGGGGGAGGGACGAGCAGGGAGGGAGAGCCGCTTTGGTGTTTGTGGAGGAGTAGCGGCGCGCGATTGTATGCGGCCTTGCGCGCAAGCGCACGCGGTAGTACCGTGCGCTCTGACATGCGTACCGACACAAAGATACACCGATGCTCATGTCGGCAACCTGCTCTTCAGGAGATACTAATAGGTATACCACTGATAAATAAAACACACATTTTACACGTATAAAATTACACACGTGGTGCACGAACAAAAATACATTTCGTGATAAACGCAAGATGCACACACACACACACACTGGCAAACTGATACATGCACCGGCAGACGCACGCCGACACAGACTCGCACCGTCACCCACAGACGCACGCAGTCCAATCTCTCTCTGTCGAGGGGGTGCTCGCCAGCTTTGCCGCCGTCCGTACCTTCTCCCCCTCGACCACGTCGAACTCCACCGTCTCCCCGTCACCCACGCTGCGCAGGTATTTCCTTGGGTTGTTCTTCTTGATCGCCGTCTGCCGATGAACAAAACGCACAGGTGGCGGGGCGGAGGAGATTAGGATTGTTCGTTTGTCAGCCCGTAAATTGGTTTATCCTTTCGACTGTCTATTCATTTGGCCCATCTATCTATTTGTCGAACCCTCAATCTATAACGTCCATCTATTCGCATGTCTATCCTTGCATTCATGTGTGTGTATCCATCCATCTGTCCATTGAATCGTCTGTCTTTCCATTCATCCGTTGGCATTTCCAACGTCCGTAGCCATACATCCGTCTGTCTATCCATCTGTATCCATCCATCTGTCCATTGAATCGTCTGTCTTTCCATTCATCCGTCCATTCGTCCGTTGGCATTTCCAACGTCTCTAGCCATACATCCGTCTGTCTATCCATCTGTATCCATCCATCTATCGGTCTGGTCTTCCACCTTTTGTCCGTTGCGAGCTGAAAATAAAATCCCGAGGGTTCGGAACCCCACAATCCCCAACACGCCTACCCTGTACAGTTACTGCCCCCGACTCTAACCCTCCCTCAGTCTCACTCCTCCTCGAATAAAGAATCAACCTTCTACTTTCTATTGGAACGAGCCAAAAGCACAAATGGCCTGTATTGTGCGGACGTGTAACTTGTTTACGTTGCCCGAGACGAGTGAAGTTTCGTTGAAGAAGGCGACTTTGATAATCGATCGTTGCTATGAATTAAGACAAACAACCCCCCTGCTACCGCCACATCTCACAAACAAACAACAATTACAACGCCATCACAACAGCAGCAGCTGCAGCTCACCTGATGGATGAACACATCTTCCTTGGTGTCGTTCCTGGGAGCACGAGGCGACGGGCAGGAGAGAGAGAAATGTACAATTATTAAATTTATTTTCACACCGATAAACACGTTTTCACAAATGGCATTCGGCTCCGTCTCGTGTTATTTTAAACCGTAGCCACGCGTTAATTTTAAGCACGCGAGTTTTTCCTAATCCGAGTGCGGTTTACAGGCCTTGGGGGGGCCTGCGCGGTGGTGAGATGTCAAATACCTCGCCTGGTATACAGGTAGTCGTGGGTTCGATCCCGATCCTGACGCCCGTATATTTGGGGTTTGCGTCTTCTCCCCGTGGTAGCATGGATTTTTCTCCGGGTCCTCCGGTTTTTCCCTCCACATTTTAGAAACATGCGTATGGAGTATTTGGCTGCTAGAAATTTCCACGCAATGATAAGCCACTTCGTTGAGCTATCATTTATGGCTAGATCGCTTCTGAAAAAATATAAAATAGCTCAGTGGGCCTAACCTGTCCCTGACGCCTGCTGTATATTTGGAGTTTGCGTGTCTCTCACTCTCCCCGTAGAGATGTTAACTACCTCGCCTGATATACAGGAGGTCGTGGGTTTGATCCCAACCCTGACGCCCGCTGTATATTTGGAGTTTGCGGTGTCTCCCTCCCCGTGGTCGTGTGAATTTTTCTCCGGGCCTTCCAGTTTTTCCCCCTCCACATTTATAATCAACATCACGTGTTTAGAGTATTCGGCTGCTATAAATTTCCCGCGTGATGATAAACCACTTCGTTGAGCTATCATCTGTGGCCAGATCACTTCCGAAAAAAAAAAAGCTAAACAGCTCAGTGGGGCCTTACCTGGTAAAAATATAAAATAGTTCAGTTAGTTTACTTTTAGTTTAACACGCAGGCTTTCGTATGGGTAGGAGAGTAAATCCTCAACAATTACAATTAGAGTACGATTTGTTGCCGGTTATTACATCAGGCTTTTGCCTAATGTGATCTGGCTATCGCCTATTGATGCAAGTTGTAATTACTGCCAAAACGTCTGACCCGAATTGTAAATGTTGTGGATTTAGTCTCCAACACAACGGTGTGCTGTACTAGTAACGAATTGCCATGTTCTGTTTACGTGACAGACCTTACTAATTGGTTGCGTCGGGTGGTGGCGGGTTTAACGACACATTTACGCGATCTAACCCAAAAAAAAACGCATGGATAGTTCAGTTTCAATCCACGACGAAGCCGGCGGGGTTTAGTGGCGCGTGGGGGAAGCTGGAGAGACGCGACGCTCAATCGTGCGTGGCCGCTACGGGGAGGCAAAACCACGCGGCTAAAATACCCGCGCCGCATGGTTTTGCCGCCTACTCTTAAAAACGCATCGTTCGTGGGGACAGCTACTGAACAAAAGGACATCTGAAAGTTGCACTGTTGGCATTTTTTTCTTGTTATCGACTTTAATAACGACGTCTCAAATGCGTGTCGGGCAACGTGAGGACACCGCTTAGGGGAAAGCCTCTGGCGTACTGCTTCCCTCGCATTTTGCCACCCACTTCATTTGACACACCCCCAACACCACCCCGGGGCCACGCGGCTTCCGTCCACGCTGCTCAACAAGTTCAAATAGCTCTTGGGCAACGTGAACTTGTGGTTTTAACGAGGGAGCGATAAAGAGAGTGTGGGGGCGCATACCCCCGCCCCCCACCGCCTAGGAATCCAAGCGACATCGCCGTTCAACCATTTACTTGAGACTCCGTCGGGAAAGTAACTCAAGAGTGTCCCAGACTACCGCCGCCATCATAGATTTTTCCTGTATCATATTCAGGGATCGTGTACCGAATAGGTCCCTTTTTAGACACTTGGATTAATTTCCCTCCCCAACTAATTTTTTTTGGCACTGTATCACGAGGCCAAGAAAGGTATATTTAGAATTATGACAGCAGGGAATGGACTGCCTCATCCCAGACCAGCCCTGGAAGATGACATCGCCAAACTAATTCTGAAAGCGATTTCATTATAACTCCCAATTACGAGTAGCATACAATGTTTGTCTCAAGTAAAACCGAAACTCAGGAGAACGAATGATTCATAATAAACGTTTTTTGGGTTAGATCGCGTTATTTATGGATGTGTCGTAACCCTCCACCACCCGAAACGGCCAATCAGTAAAAAAGCATCATCGGGCAATTTGCCACAACCATTCCAGCTGGATGTAATAACCAGCAAAACGTTGTACTCAAAAATTGTAAATGTTGTGGATTCACTCTTCAACACACCGGTAGGCTAAAGTAGTGAACCATTTGTCTTTTGTCAACGTGACAATTTTTTACTGATTAGCCGTGTCGGTGGTAGAGGGTTACGACACATTTATAAATAACGCGATCTAACCCAAAAACCTTTATTATGAATAATATTGGTCGCGAAAACCTATGTGTTAAAAAGAACGAATGAGCCCAATAAAGTGAAAAAAAATAATATATTAACGATTTTTTTGTGCTGTCATTGGGGACGCACTGGATCAAGCCCCCACAACTTAGTATACCGGAAATTCCGGTTTCATCACAGGGCGACTTAAAGCAAGATTAAAAAAACGCTGTAACTCGGCAGAAACCGACTCACGCTCTCTGACACGACCATTATGAGCGCTCCCACCCCCCCCCCACCCCTGAGCTACGGATCTCAGACACGACCATTATGAGCGCTCCCCCCAAGCTACGGATCTCAGACACGACCATTATGAGCGCTCCCCCCCGAGCTACGGATCTCTGACACGGCCATTGGAGCGCCCACCCTCCGGGCTAAGGATCTCTAACACGGCCGTTATGATCATCCACCCCCAAGCTACGGATCTCAGACACGACCATTATGAGCGCTCCCCCCAAGCTACGGATCTCAGACACGACCATTATGAGCGCTCCCCCCAAGCTACGGATTTCAGACACGACCATTATGAGCGCTCCCCCCCGAGCTACGGATCTCTGACACGGCCATTGGAGCGCCCACCCTCCGGGCTAAGGATCTCTAACACGGCCGTTATGATCATCCACCCCCAAGCTACGGATCTCTGACCCAGCCATTGGAGCGCTCCCCCCCCAGGCTACGGATCTCTGACACGACCATTATGACCATCCACCCCTGAGCTACGGATCTCTGACACGACCATTTTGAGTGCTCCATACGAGCTACGGATCTCTGACACGACCATTATGAGCGCTCCATACGAGCTACGGATCTCTGACACGACCATTATGAGCACCCCCCTCGAGCTACAGATCTCAGACACGGACATTACGAGCACCCCCTGAGCTACACGGCCCCCTACAAAACGTCTTGTCTGGTGGCGGTGTCTCACCTGTTGATGAAGCCATAGCCGTTCTTCACGTTGAACCACTTCACCGTTCCGAGCACCTTGGTGGCTGCAAAAATAAAAACCATCAGAACGTCAGACGGGGAGGGCGACAACTGCTACCACTCACCCACACCACCCCCTACGAAACACATTCCAACGGACTTCGCCTTCAATGCAAATGACAAGAGGTGGGAACTTCCTCGTTTCGATTGCCAGCGGTATGTCTCTCTCTCCCTCTCTCTGGTGGGCAAGGAGGGTTGAGATTCTACCCGATGGCAAAAGGGAGGCTCAGAGGACTGCGACGTCGCGAGCGCGCGTCGAGAAGCGACAGAGACAACGCCGATTCGAAGGGCGACGACGCCACTGCCTGCCTGCCCATTCCACCACAGGAGGAGCAAACAGGAGAACGAAGGCGGGAAGGAAGGACGCGGTGGAACGACATTAGACGGCTGGTTGTTAAGAGAGACAAGAGGCAGAGTAGAGAAGCACGTGGAGAATTAAAAGCCAGGCAGCAGACCTCCTCCCCCCCCCCCCCACCACGTGCTGACAGGACTTTGAGCTTAGAACTTGTGATGCAAGCTTATGGATTATGCAAGAGAATGGGTGTATATGCACGTCAGTGCATCTCCATGTAAGGGTAGCGGATGTGACTAAAGGAATATAAAAGTACGTGGAGACAACAAATTGGACCAGCGTCATCCCATGCAATGAAACTTTTAGCTTCAGAGAGTTCACTGGTAGGTGCCATAAATGGCATTTTGATTATGAATTACCATTTTCCTAACCTTGATACATTATAAAACCAAGCCCTAAACCCTTGCAGATCATCAATCACAGCATGTTTGTAAAGGGAGGACCGGTTCCGGATAGGACTTGCCACCGATGTTAACCACGGGCAGGAATCCAACTCTGCAAGCCGGGTACAGAGCACGGGTGCGCCAACCACTGCACTCTGCCGTACTCACAACGTGGCATCAACTCATTTTTATCTACCCCAGAGAGACGACGACGATGATAGGATTAGTTGAAAAACAAGGCCAATAATTTGACCTAGGCAGCACCCAGCTGGATTACCATGGCACACAAGAAGAGCCCAACCCAACTGTTTTTCTCCATCGTCACGCTCTTATTTTGTACTCTTCACGCCCACGTGCTCCTCCTCCCCATGTACAATGGCGTGTGCATCGCTTCCTCTTGAACAGCATCGCCCACACATTTGCGACCCAATGGGCAGGGGCCGTCCATTGACGTATTACATCCAACACTGTGCCGTCGAAACGCAAGGGACGGAGGGGTTCCCACCCCCCCCCCCCCAAAGTGGGGGGCCCGGGGCAGTCACCCAGATTCCCCGTGTACCCTAGGGATGGCCCTGCGCGTGGGTCACAGTGGCCTCAGGACAATCGTAGCCATCGGCCAAATGAACGGGAAGACGCGCTGCAAAAAAAAGACATCCATTTTTTTCTCCCTTGTAGACATCAGAACCGAGGTCAACAGGAATTAGATGTCAGCGCTGCATTGTTGCCTATCAACATTGACAATTGCGTTACTGTCGTTTCAACAGCCACAATTGTCACCGACCCACGACGTCCTGGAGACGTGTACACAACAAGGTTGTGCGAATATCCCACAAGCTTGGGGTTGCCTGTGGTCATCATCGGCGCACTACTGTGGCTTGTCTTACATTTTACATTCATGAAGGTGATGCTGTACATTGGCCTGTTGATATTCTGATGTTTTAACAATAAGAGTATCTCAATCCCTTAGCTTTGAAAACATCAGTCACTTACCACAAGTTAACGTAGGGACATGTAACCAAGCGATTAATCAACATTAGCAGGGCTTCGAGAAGTTTATGTTCCCAGTGAAATACAACTGCGAGTTGTTGTTGCTGCTGTTGCTAAGAATTGAGCAATGTGCCCCGAGTCAGATTCCAGCCGCAGCTAACATCAGAGTGGCTCGTGACAGATCTAAACCCTCGGGGACCTGGCCCACCCAATCTCCCCTTCATATAAACCAGCGTGGTGAAGTATGGCATAGTCAACCAATCCGCGGAGGCCCTCATCCGGCAACGGATTGACAAATTCGCACCTGTCAACCCCTATTCAGACCTTATTGGTCACCCCGTGCCCTTATAAATATAAAAGTTCATCCTACAAAGTCCCATCACAAGGGAAAAATAAAAAATAGACAAGTGTTTTTTTGCCCATATTGAAACGGCTGTACACCGTATGGCCCTGAAAACTCAATTTCCCTATACAAGAATAAAGGGTAAACCTTATGGGTTGACTGGTATGCAAATTTGCTGTAAATTACAAATTAAATTGTTATTACTCAACACATTCTCTTTTCCGTTCGAAGTGAAAACTCCACGGTCACATGGCAGGGATTCAGACACTCCTCATTCCCTGTAAAGGAGCAGCTTCTGTATTCAGCGGCGCGTTGCGAAAACTCCACGTTCGTATGCCGGGTGCTCAGCAATTCCTTAAAAACAAAGTTAACTTTCGACATAACTACCTTTTACAAAGCCCGTGTTAATAGAAATTACACATTCGTATGACGGGGACCAGTAACATCAAACTCAAATAGTTGTCCAAAGCTACTGCCGACTTTAATCCAAACCAAGCAGCTGGTCGGCCAGCGTAGTTTGAGGCCTCCATTCCAGCGATGGATTGACCAAAAAGGGGACCCCCGGTCAAAAATCTTAAACCTCCGACGATTTCGGATCCAGCGGTGTTGCGAATTCATCATCATCATCACCAAAGTTCAATTCACTGCTGGCTGAAGGCCTACCCCCGCTCGAGCCGAATTCACCGCTCCAATCTCTCTGCGTCACCCCTCTCGTCGCTGCTTTCCAATTATTCAACCGCTCGTATTTATTGAAACGACACGCTCTTGCGAAAGTATGAGGGCGAAACTAACGCGGCACTTAAACCAAGCCCAGGTTTCGGCTAAATAAAATTCCCGATTCGCGAGGCAGCGGGTGAGCAAGCGGCGTTAACATTCCAGGTGATTTAAGGCCGCGGTATCGCACATTCACTGCGGTTACATTTTACATAAAATTGCTACTCATTGTGTAATAACCCCCCCCCCCCACACCGAGGCTAACCGTGGTTAATAATAAGGCAGCGTAAATTTTGATCCAAAGCTTTTGTGACTGCAGGCATTCACAGTCTTGGTTCTTTCGGTAAAGTCACCGCGTAGAAGGGAAACAATAAAATAAAAGGCAGCGCGTTTGTTAAATAGGAGGGCGTTAATAGGCCGGAAGCGGACAGCGTGGCAGGGACTCACAACCAGGGCCGCCATGTGCTCACGCGCTATGTACAGTGCTGTACTGTACAACAGCACGATTAACTCGTAAGCGACGAGGAAGCGGACGGGCGCGACCAAAAGTTCTCTCTCAACAACAGCGCGGGGTAAAGGCCGCGAGCGGACACCGTGGCGGGGACTCGAACCAAGGGTCACCATGTGCTCACGCGCTATGTACAGTGCTCTACTGTACAACAGTACGATTAACTCGTAAGCGACGAGGAAGCGGACGGGCGCGACCAAAAGGTGCGGGGGGTGTGAGGGGTGCGAGTCGGGCGGCCAAGGCACCATCAGTAAACATTCTACGCACTCGATAAACCCAACCCTCCACCATTAAACATAACACAAATTTTAACTAGTAAAAGTTCGGCAAACATTTGAATTGTAAAAGAACCCTCCCCCCCAAACCCCACATTCTAAACCTCCCTCCCCTAACCCCTTCGGAAGTTGGCCTCGCCCGTGACGTCACAATACCAACTACGGTCTCGCGCTGTGGCGGTTGGAGCTCGCGCGCGCGCGCCTTCCCCCCCCCACCCTCCCACCCCCTCCCCTCCATCCCCCCCCCTCCTCCTCACCGATCACTTTCTTCTCGGGCTTCTGCGGCTGCGTCTCTTCGGCGTCGTTCGCGGCGGCGTCGTCGTCGTTGACGGCGGAGTCGTTCTCGGCGGCGTCGTTCACGGCGTCGACGACGGCGGCGACGGCGGCGAGGGCCTCGGTGACGATTTCGGCGTCGCTCATGATGGCTGTTCTTGTAGCTGCCGTTTCCGGTGGTTTCGCTTCGCGTTGGCCGCGGCTCCCTCAGACCCCCCCGTTGGCTTCTGCTTCTCTCCTCTCCTCACGCGCGCGCGCGCTCTCTCTGGCCGGAAAGATGGTGGCCACCGCTTCGCCCCCTTGAGTAGGGCCGGCGCGGTGACGTCACCGCCCCCTTCGCGCGACGCTCTAATGGGGCGGGGAGGGCGGGGGATGACGTCGGCGGAGACGGCGGACCAATCGTGGCGCGGGGTTGTTGGGGACTTTTACGTTTCCCCCGCCCCCCAGGCTCCACCCCCTTTACGCCCCACCCCCACCGGGATACGCCTCGACGCGATGATGTCATGACGCTCCCCTTTAACCAAATGACGTCCGGCACGCCTCGACGTGATGATGTCACGTGATTACGTCTGCTGGGCGTCAACCGATTCGGGGCCATCCATTGATTAGGTAGCAAACCCCCCCCCCCGCCCCGAATCCTATAGATCGACCGATATTTAATCCACGCAAGAAACGATCAAAGATTAATAATATGAACGTACTCTTTTGGTTATTTCGGTAAAGTAAACGTAGGTATAAAATAATTAACGACGTTTCGGGCGCACAAACAAGCGTCCGTCATCAGGTGGGAAAGGCATGGTCTGCTGCTGAGGCAGGCTGCTTTAAAAATGTTCTAAATTGGTGTTGCTCAAGGGTGTTTGTTTTTTTAGTAAACAGGCCACCGCCGGGCTTGCGTTAAAGAATTAAGTCGCGTACCTTTAGAACGTTTGTCTAGTGTCCGCTAGGTTCAAACGCCGACTGAACCCAGTCGCGAACGGGTTTTACGTGTTAATAGGAGTTTCGTTTCAACACGCACAATGTCAGGCTGAAGCACAGCAAGCGTTTCTCCTGCTCTGTTTTTATCTCTCTTAAGATTTAGTGAAATCTTTGGACAAAAACGTCAATCAACCAGGTAGGGCGTTGACTGTTGTGTTGCTTTTTATATTTCTAAGTTTCCTAGGGTTTTATTTTCTCTTGTCATTTGTACCTCCTGATGATGAGTGCTTGTGTAGCAATCGAAACGTCGTACGCTGCTATTTAATTTATTATTTTCTCTTTCTACGTCATTTTACCGAAAGAACCAAAGAGTAAACTGAACTGTGGCTCATTTGAAGGCCAACGTAGACAAAGTATTTTCGAGGCTTCACACCCCCCCTCGTTTCCTCTGCGTACATTGTAGGTAGACCCCCCCCCCCATACGCACGCGTACGCATTTGGGTTAACCCACCCCCACCCCCCATGCGTACGTACCCAATGGTTGGCCCCGAATCCCTCGCGTGCGAAAGGCATCACATCAAAGTCGCGACACGCCTTTGACGTAATGACGTCACGGTAGTAGCATCCGTTTGGGGTGGTGAGGGGGGGGGAACGCGATGATGTTCAGGGGCGTTTGCGTACAAGCGCGGTGACGTCACACGATTCCCAACACTCGAACGTTATCCGGCGTGATGACGTCACGTATCAAACCGATACGGCGCGATGACGCCACGGAACTCCCAACGGCGGATAGCTTTAAAATGACGGATGGAGTTACGCGATTACGTCATAAATCAACGATCATCCCTCGACCACTTAAAAAATATTCATGGTACTTTCGGTAAAGTCACGTAGAAGGGGAAACAATAAAATAATAAAAATATGAAACAATAAACTTCTCACTACGTTTCGACTGCAACACAAGCAATCATCAAGTGTGAAAACCACAGCAAGAAAATTATAAAAAGTGGCGTTTTTTTAACGTTAGCACCACGGAGAGGGATTTGGCAGTTTGTTCAGATGGACGAGTCAATCTATGTTCGGAAAAGAGGAGGGGGGAGACGAAAATTAATGTATGCTGTCTGAAAGCCACCGTAAGCGTGAACAATCAATTAAGACCCAAAATGGTTTATCAAATCCTTCCAATGATTGCTAAGCCAGAATCCATCTTCTCGGTTGAAATTGTCTCTGTGTTTGTATATGTGGATAGCCTCATGAACGAATCTCTCATGGTAGCCAGATGGCTTGCAAAGAACCTCTGTCTTGGAGAAGTCAATGTCATGTGAGCCCACTGAATTATAACAGTGATCTGCCACGGTCGAGGTGTTGGTCCTACCGTGTTTTAGGTCTGCTTTGTGTTCACGAATGCGGTCCGAGACATGTCCATCTGAATAACTGCCAAATCGCTCTCCGTGGTGCTAACGTTAAAAAAAACCCGCCACTTCTTTCAAAATTTCTTGCTGTGGTTTTCACACCTGATAATGATTGCTTGTGTTGCAGTCGAAATGTCGTGAGAATTTTATTGTTTTATATTTTTATTATTTTATTGCTTCCCTTCTACGTGACTTTACCGAAAGAACCACGAATGTGTAATTAAGTGTTGATTACAAACTTTGTTTCCGTTCTTCCGTCAGTTGCGAGTGTTTTTTTCTGTTACGGCTATTAAGTCACACCCGTTAAATGTGCCTCACTTTTAAAACAATTCTACATACTGTATATATATTTTCATATTTTAATATTTCTTGGCAAAACTGATAGGTCTCAAAACAATATCTGTAGATAATTTAATGGGGTGGATAATAAGAGTTGGAGACTACCTAAAACCAAATGAGAATTACGTTTTTTTCAATGTTTTCTGATAATCAGTGGTTTGTCTGGATCTCAATCTCATTCACATGCCCGTTTAAAAACTGGTCATCAGAAAAGTTTGTATTTCTTTTATTTTAATTAGGCCCCATGGCGTTCCTAGGCAGTCTCCAAACCTTAGCCACTCTGTCTCTCCAGCCTATCTGTTTACGCGTTCCAAGGAAGGCGATATTTCCCGTAAAACGTCGCTAATGATATATTGTTTCTCTCCGTGACTTTACCGAAAGAACCAAGAATATGAATCCCTGCAGTCACGAAAGCTTTAAATAAATAAAAAATAGTGTTATTGACAAATACTTTTGGGGGGTTTTTTCCATCTTGTTAATGATTGTGCACCACTGCCAATGAATTATACGTCGCTAGAAATGTTTGTTAATTAATTAGTGGGGAGGCTCGATAATGAGGTGATGACGTCACAACATCCACGCCCTCCCCCCAACATCTCCTCCCCCCCAAAACCCGCCCCTCGTAAGACGACAGAACCACGTGACCACGGCTCAGGGGAACGGGAAGTGGGTTGGTACAACAGGGGTTATGTAATCGCCCCACCCAACTTGAATCCCCCACTCGAACAACAACAACAAAAACTCAACACGTCCGTCAGTATACAATGTCTTTATTCAACAAATATATAATAGGCGACGTTTCGGACAATGGTCCCCTTTTTTTTCTCTCATAGCATAATAATAGGTATTGCTGCCACGCCCATTTCCCCACCCCAATGGTTCACCCCCCACCTCCCCCAAGCCCCTCCCCCAACCCCCCTCCCCCAACCCCCCCCCCCAAACCTCCCGCCCCCCAAACCCCATAACCCCCCCTCCCATCTGAGCACCCCCCCCCTCCTGAACTCCCCCCCCCCCCCTGAGCCCCACCATTGGTATGAATGGCCACATGGCCACACCCCCCTCCCCGCACTGCGGCCCTCCTTGGCCGCATGGTCGAGCAGCACACGTGGCCGGTTTCCGGATCGCTTAACTTGAAAGCGTGGGCTTTGCCATAGCCAATACTACAATGATCCGTATTTGTTTTATATGAGAATAAATCTGAATGAATAACACTGTGTCGCGGGCCTTGAAAGGAAAATAATCGAGGAGGCTGGCGACGTTTCCTTAGCACGTAGATGAATGGAACATTGAATGGAAGGCCATGCAAACCGAACTATTTGACCATATGCTACGAAACCCACAGAGACACGAAGAGATACGTAGAGACTCATAGACACATCCGTAGAGATACATGAAGACAACTAAACATTCATGTAGCAAACCATTGCAGGGTGCGCTCTTTCAATACACGAACGCTCCTGAAGCCCTCTCAGACCTCAACATTGGCGTTTAACTACTGAACTAATTGCCATCAGACAGGAGGATAGAAGATAAACCAAAGCGATATTATATAGACTGTACTTTATGCCATGGGGGCTGATGAGAATTACATTTCACACATCCAATTAGCACGGTTGGCTACATACGGTGCAAAAGAAGTTCAGCATATTATACATGGTTATAATGTGTCCTCATAAGCATGGAGTAGAAAAAAATAACTCAACACATTTGTCAATAACAATTTGGCCTTAATAGGGAAAGTAATAGGTGACGTTTCGGACAAGAACAGACAGCCTAGAGAGGTAGAGTGGATGAGAGTTGGAGAGTGATACTTTAAACCAAATGATGCTTAATGATATTTCAGTTTAAAAAAATAAATTGTTTTATCGTATATTAATTTTAATCATTCATAAACTTGATTTGGTGATGCTGCTGCTGCGTTGGCAGTAGTGCGCAAAAAGCAAACAACAACAAAAATTCAACACACCCGTCAACAACACTGCCTTTATTGAAAACTTTGGCGACGTTTTGGACAATGTCCCTTCTGTGCAGCACATAGGCCAGAGGTAGATTGGTCACACAGACCATAGTGGTAGGGTGGCCATGTGCTGCGAAGGGCCATCAGAATCTTTATTTATCCTGGATAAATACGTTGAGCTACTAAGCTCTTTCTCACAGTTTAACACGTAGTAGGCTTTCGTGACAAAATATTATCCGTAATAGAGGGTTGTTTTGGGTTAGATCGCGTAAATATAAATATGTCGTTAAACCTACCACCACCCGACAGCCAATTAGTAAGGTTTGTCATGTAAACAAAACGTGACAATTAAGTTACGAGTACAGCACACCGGTCGTGTGTTGGAGAGTAAACCCACAACATTTAGCAATCCGGGTACGCCGTTTCGCCAGTAATTACAACAACCAGCATCACCAGGCGACAGCCAGATATGTTGAGACCACGCCCCCTTTCTCTAAAGCCACGCCCACCCCCTCAAGACGCGGGGCGTCGAGGCGCGCATGCGCACTGCCTTGGCCTCACTCCCCTCCCTCCCCTCCCTCTGAATTCGACCCCGCGGTACACGTGGGGAGGGGGGGGTGCCCGCGTCAAGTACTGGCCTCTCTCCAACAGTGGACCCCACCTCCCCACTGCCTTTTTTTAGTAGCAAGCACACACCCATCCGCTCCTTATATGGTATGAACCACGCCCACTTAAATCGGGACCGCGCCCTCTCTAGTTGAGACGACGCCTACTTACACTCGCAGCCACGCCCTCCGCCCGCTGCCGAACGTTCAGCGTGTGACCACGCCCACACGAATTTCAAGCCACGCCTACCAAAACCTGAAGCCACTCCTCCCGTCCGAAGACGCAGGCCGCAAGGCCCCCCGCGCATGCGCACTGCTGCCTCCTCGTCGTCGCCCGGAGTTGGAGTGGCACATGTGAGTGGCGGTGCGTCCCAGGCCCCGAGCTTTTGGGGGAACTCGAGCGGTCTCCCCTCGCCCGCTGGCGGGGTCCCGGGCCGGGCGAGGGGACCCCGCTCGGTGTGCCCGACGAGGCGAGGGAACCCGCGCGGATGGGAGATACGCGAGAGTTTTAGCGTCGGGACAGGCTTCCACCCCACCCACCATACACGTCCATTGCGGCCTAGCGCAGGCTCTGAGCTTGGTGTGAATTGCGGCTTAAATGATTAATCGAATCTAAGTTACAAATTTTACGCCGGTAATTTACAAAAAGAGTGTTAGGTTGTCGTGGCGGTTAAAGTGTTCGGTAAGGAGGCCTCGCCGCTGTGGGCGATGCCGCTAAACGGCGCTTATTGTGCATAAATTGTGGGTTTTTGTTGAAGTCCTAAACGCGTGTGCTGCGGGCCTGTGTTTGAATTTGTTAAGGTAACATGCAATTGACGTGATGTATAATTTGTTGTCTGATTAATAGTGCGTAGATATTGTTTTACGAGAGGGGCACCGTGATGTGGGCGCTTGAGCGCCTGGGCTCGAACTAGGCCTCAAAGTTTAAACAATTAAAAAATTAAATTTAGCGGCCCACGCGGTGATACTAACTTTACAATGGGCCTCCTGTCGATTAAACTAACCATAAATACACGTGTTCGACGTGATAAAGTACGTACATTAACAGCAATGGTGAAGTAAGACGATTTGTGACCGCATGCCTGACCATGCTTCGTGGGAGAGGCCCGAGCGCAATTGAATATCTAGTTTAAAAAAAATGTATATACAGCTTATAAAGATGTAACCACGGCAGTTGTAATATATGCGAGTTTTGGTGTGTGTGCCACTGCTAGCTTTATTAAATGATTGCCAAAAATAAAAAAATGCTGACTTGCCCTATTGGCTCGTCTCAACCATGCGTTTGAAGAGCGTTTAAATCGTAATAGTCTATAAACCACAATTGTGATTTATAATTGTGCACGAGTAATAGTTAAGCGAGCTGGAGTTATGTTGTATGGTGGTACTACTACGATTCAATGCGTATAATATTAACATTCATTTTTGGCGAATTTGGCCTGAATGCTTAACCGGTCCACTTAATTGCAAGACATACATTGGAATGAAAACGATCATTTATTATTTCAACACTGCAATTTATACTATTTGTAGATTACAATCGTTTAATACAGTGCGTGTGTGCATTTTGCTGCTAAGGCTATTTGCAAAAAAAAGATCCCCCATATAGCCTTAACAGACTGTAGGGGCAAGTGCTGTTAGCGAGCACCTATGAAGGCCGGAACGGTACACGAGGGGGTGGGTGGCCAGCACCACGCCCGACCACCTTTGTCTCCCCAGTGGCAATGTTTACACACCGCACCAGGTACTCATTTGATGCTGAGTCGACCTAGGGGAGGCCCGGGACCGGTTCAGATAATCGCCACTGGTGTTGGCCGTGAGCGGGAATCGAACCCGGGTCGCCAGGTTCATAGCGCAGCGTAGCGCTAACCGCTCAAGACAGATTACATTATAGAACTCCAGGGGCGGAGCCAGGATTTTCAGCCCGGGGTGACATTAAACAAATTTTAATTTCAAGAATGATTAGAGCGTCAAGGCTATTTGCATCAACATGCACACCAACACCAGTGACTTCTCTGAACCGGTCTCGGGCCTCACCTCGGTCGACTCGGCCTCAAATGAGCTTTGAGTGCGGTGTGTAAACATCACCACTAGGGAGACAAAGGCGGCCGGGCGTGGTGCTGGCAACCCACCCCCTCGTGTGTCGTGCCGGCCTTCATAGGTCCTCGGAGACAGCACTTGCCACAACAGTCTGTTAAGGCTGTACGGGGTATTTGCCTTTGCTAAGGCCATTAAACAATGCGTGTTTATATTTAACATAAAATATGGATTTTCCGGCCACGTGGTTTGATATCGTAACCACCAGATCCTTGATATACTCGTGGCTTAAAGATGGCATCTAATAATCGGAATAATTGCAGCAGTCTGCTTAATATCGTTAGTGGGTAGTGTGGCTGAAGCTGATCTATTATACCAACTAAGTGCCTATTTAACATACTCTATTTGTAATTGGCGAATTTCTCGCCTCCAACACCACCCGTTGCAGTCTTGAGCAAGTCTTGGTGTAGGGGTTAAGTGGGGGTGGTGAACATTCGTGAATGCATCGTCAAAGCTTAACAGCCACTAAGACTGTTTAAAACTCTTTAAAACGCTGGGATTAAGGGCTATGTACCGGATTTCACGTTGTACCTACATCTACGCTGGTCCAATGTCTTAGTGAATATTCATTTACCGGCACGCTGAAGTTAGGTCAAATAACCCCGACAGTCCGTAAATGCGATGCACTCGTACTCTTAATAGTCGCCCATTGCCAGCATGTAACCACCAGTGATGTCCTTTGTATTCGTTTAAATAATTGCAGCATTTGACACGCTCAATAATTATATATTGCTAGCAGATTTCGGCAGTCATTAAGAACACTGCCTCTTTCAATTATCTTCAGTTTGCCGAGTAATTTTGTAAATTGGGGAAAAAAAAGTTCTCGCCACCATTTCACAAGAAAAAAAAACAATCGATCGAGGATAATTTTCTGACTAATTATCCTGCTACCTTGCGAAAGTCAATTTAAACACGTGCGTGCAATGTGTGAAATTGTAATGTTTTATTGGCAGGCGCGCTTTAATGTTTTCTTTTTATCAGCGCCCTTTTTTAATAGTTAAAAAGTTTCTGGTGGTGGGGTATCGTGGAATAGTTGGGTGGTGTCAGGCGAGGCGGGGCCTCTGCTGCCTCTCATGTTTAAAATAACACGTTTAAAAAATATATTTTTATATTTATTTTTATGCGGTGAATCACCCCTTGCTCAGGTCAGACGCAAGATTGCAGAGAGGCTGGTGATGCATTTCCCATTTGAATTAAATTGCCCTTCTCCCCCCCCCCCCTCTTCATCCAAATCCAATGGCAGCTCTAAAACCCAGAGTTAACTTGGGAGTTTTACGCAAGGGGTGGAGAGAGAGCGCTGGAGTGGTTAGTGTGCCTCGCTATAAACCTGGCCAGCTCTGCACTCAAGTTTGATTCCCTGCCGTGGCTGCTAACATGGGCAATAATAATAATTACGTTTATACAGGTCACAGCAGCAGCAGACACTCGGTATAAATATTGTTATATTAGAATACATTTACTAAATTAACTAAGTGTAATAAGCGATCATGTCACCTGTTAGGGGGACGAAGAAAAACAACAACTTAAACTTGGTTTGAGCCAAACATCCCAATGTAGATTTAATTCAATTGAGATTGTGAATTGCAATATCATCCCCGACTGTTAAAACTTGCCCCCACCTTCCTGAATGAGTCATGAGACTCGGTGATATTTGCTTAAGTCGACGAGCATAATAAACCAAAACTAAACATGTTTTGTATTTTACGAGCTAAGGCCCACTAAGCTATATTATTTTTCTCATAAGCAACCTGGCCACGAATGATAGCTCAATTACGTGGCTTATGTGGAAATGTATTGCAGCCAAATGCTCTCAACACATGTTGATTCGAAATGTGAAAGGAACCGCACGAGACTGAGAAAAATCCACGTGACCATGCAAACTCCAAATATATAGGCGTCAGGGTCGGGATTGAACCCCCGGACCTCCTGTATACCTGGCGAGAGAGTTAACATCTTGCCACTGGGGCCACCCCATTAATAACGAGATCCAGTCCTGCGTTTACCACTCCCCACTTTACAAGCCCGCCATGGTGGTGAGGTGCGGTTGAAGGCCGTAACCGAGATGGCGTGGGGCTGCCCTCATCCAGCAGTGGGCTTAGAATGGTCCAGTGGTGTGTCGCACTGCGTTCTGAATCGACGTCCCGGGGTGTGCGGGTCGGTGAAGGGTGGGCAGCATTGACGCGGGGAGCATAGAAGTGCAGTAAAACAACAGACATTTCATTGCCCTCTGCTGACCACAAGGTAGCACAGTCCGCCTAAGACAACTTTGGCGTGTGCATGGTGGTAAAATCGGCAAAGTCATAGGTGTGGCCCTTATTGCTTTGCCACTAATCCCTTCCTTGTCATCGAATTTCCAATCACAAGCAGGGGATAAATGACTCCGTGTTTAAACGAGTAAATAGGATTCATCCTCAACACATCCTAGCCGCATTGAAACAATAATTCGCAGACATTTGTCAGTTCACCAGCTCAACTGAGGCTCCGTCCCCTCCACCCGCATTCGGACATGGCAGTGGTTCAACCACGTTTTTGTCGTTCTGGTCAGCGTTGGCATGCGTGCGTTTATTAAGAATTAAAAAAATATATATAAGGATTAAGGACTTCTAAATTTGGTGATGGTGAATTGTGACTGGGTCTTGGGTGGTTGTGTGGGGTAATTCGTTCTTTGTTCAATTAGTTCTGTATTTAGATATTGCCATAACTGTGCCTCCCTGCCCCTACTTTTACCATCCCGCACCTACCAGCGTGGTGAAGTATTATCAAATAAACCCCCTACAAACCCGCATGGCTTATGGAAGTCCCTCTTCCGATAGGTTATTGATAGAACTGACTCAATGGGGACATGTTGGCTCAGCTCTTGACAGAAACAAGTCGACAGATTGTTAACGGCAATCAAACTACGCGATCACCGTTTTTAATTTTATGAAATGGTAATCCAGATTTTGCCATAACTGACCCAAAGCCCATGCGCACGTGTTTAATACATATATGTACGTGTGTATGTATGGGTAACATATATGTTTGCAAACATACACTACGACAAATTAACTATCTGGGGTGAAGTAAAATTAGCACCACTTTGTGGGGACGCAGTAGTGGAGGGAGCTGGAGGTTTTATGTGTGCTGTATGAAATAGGGATAGGTAGTGTGTGTGTGCTGTATGAACTAGGGGGAGGTAGTGTGTGTGTGCTGTATGAACTAGGAGTAGGCAGTGTGTGCTGTATGAACTAGGGGTAGGCAGTGTGTGTGTGCTGTATGAA